AGAGAGATTAAAAAGATTCTTATCGTATTTAATTTGCTATTGACTATGAGGTTTACTTCTTGCAGTTGTCAAAAAAAAAATGATGTTCTTATGGTATATTTTTCATGCTTTTTGGTAGTCTTTAAGTTTGTGTTGTCCTTCTTCTTTAATCCAAATCTAAATATAGAAACTAGTTGAGGGGTTTCTTTTGATTAATGTTAAAATTTAATTCATTTTGTTTCCTAAATTTATAATTTTTTTTTTGTAAAATACATCCTTTTTAATTGCATATATTAAAGTTAAAGAAAAGTTTCTATCAATGGGGTAGTTCGAATGAAAATTATTAAAGAGGGTATTTTAGAAAAATCAATTACACATATTTTTTTTTTGGGTAAACAATTGCACACATTTGTTACAAGTAAGTAACTTAACTAACTTTTTTAATCACTGTAAATTAATTATCTCGTTTCCAGTATTAAGAAAATAAACAATCATATTTTTTTAGTCTTTAATAAAATTCAATTTTGGAATTTATAATTTTTTATGCAAGATCATTTAAAATACAACCCGTTAATATATATAATATAATATAATATAATATCAAATATCAAATAATTATTAAAAAAATCTTGCTTGTTATATATGAAAAATTAAAGATGCATGATTCATGAATAATAGTTTCAACTTTGGAGACCTTCCGTGGAGTCTTTGACAGATGCCAGAATGGGGCAACTCCCTAAAAACATTATCAAATACAAATTGATTATCAGCCGCAAAGGCAACAAAACTAAAAAGAAAGGCGCTCTCTGGTCAAAATAAACCTTTTTTTGCTTTATAAAGAATTGTAATTATCAGTTTTAAATTTAAAAAATTTTATACTCAAACTTTTAAATTTTATAATTATTTTTTTATAAGTTCAAAAATTTTAGGGTAAATCATACTCCTACGTTTACCAAAATTTTTTTTCATAAATATTATTAAAAGTTTATCTATAGATCTCTCCTTTTTTTTTTTGAAAAAAAGAAATTACATAAATTTTTCATGATCTCTCCTTTTTTTTGAAAAAAAAGAAAATTACATAAATTTTTCATGAGTTTTGTTAAAACTGCATTTCTTATAATTATCATATATATAAACTTCCCTTAAAAATAAAAGGAATTTCATTTCCTTGTACCAAAATCTGGAGACGATATGTGTAATTCATTGTTTACTTTAAAGAAATTTTTATAGGTTTTGAATAAAAACAGAGTTCTGTATGTAATCTATAAAAACAAAAAGGAGTGCTTTGAATTTATTTTTTTAAATGTTGAATAAACTTTAAAAATATTTAAAAAGTTTCAGTTATAACCCCATAAATGATACTAAATTTTTTAAAGAATTAATTTCATGACTGTCAACTTTTGATAAAAAAAAAAAAAAGAAAAAAACCAAACTGATTTGTAGATCGCTGCTTGACTTGATATTTTCACAGTTGAAACTTTAATTTTTAAAATATTTTGAGATTTGAAATGACTAATATATATATATATATATATATGTGTGTGTGTGTGTGTGTGTGTGTGTGTATGTATATATATATAATTTTATATATCTGTAATTTTTCAGTGGCCTGGTTACGCGTCTGAGAAGTGACTTCTTCTTGGCTTGGCTTTCCATGAAAGGGTCATTATGATCCAAAAGTATAGGACTGAGGATTAGTGGATAAATTTGTTGTCACGTGAAAGGCACGGAGCACTATCGTCTTTGCGGTTTTTGTTTCAAATTTCAATGGTCGGTCTTTCTTTGGTTGAAAACACACACACATTGATGTGCCTCCTCTAGTCCTAGTGACTAGTGAATGATGATTGCCCTATTAGAAGTTTCTCTTACGCATTTGTGTAATCTTATTCTTTGAAACCTCTGATATTTTTAACCCCCTAGAATATTTAGACTTTTATGTATCGAATTAATTTGAAAAATTGGCCAATTTAAAAATTATATGTAAAATTCATTTAAATTAAAATATTATTTTTACTGCATTTATTACATGTACTGCTAATTAGGGTTGGATGATACTATTTTATGTTGGAAGTTTGATGTAGATATATTAAAAAGAAAAGTCTCACATTTTTTATGTGAGAACAGCTCCAAGTGTACATATGTTAAAAAGTGAGAGTGAGTTAGTAAAAATCAAGATGAAAAGTAAACTAACACACACAATAATAAGTCAATACATTGCAATTATTAGGGGTGTTCACGGGACAGGATGGACGGAATCGGGCATTCCTATCCTGTGTCTTGTCCCGAAAAAAAATTAGGATTGAATTTTGGTTCCGTGTCCCGTCCTGTCCTGTCCCAAAAGCTATCCTATCCCATTAGAAGTCAGGATGGGACCGGACAAAATCGGGACGTCTCACCGTCCCAATAAATGAAATAATATCGAAAAAAGATTTGAATAATAACGTTCATTAAAATTTTAAATCATATAATTTATTAAATTTAAAATCAAAACAACACAAGTACATAAATCACAACAATTTAAAGTCAATTATTGAATTATATTAATCACAACTATACATTATAATAACAAATACAAATGATCTTTATGCTACAAGATTAGCAACAACAGGCAAATCAAATACAACATCAAATCATTATTCTTCTACTTTAATAGGATGTGCATTTAAAATAAAAAATAATATATAATATTTGGAACGGGACGGGATGTCATGATAGTAATCTCGTGTCCCGTTCCATCCCGTAAAATTTTGTCTCGATTATTTTTGGGCCAAAACAAGACCCCTCTCGATATAATCGGGACGATACCGAGTCAATCGAGGCGAGTCCAAACTGAATACTCCTAGCAATTATACTTGAAAATAGGCAATTCAAATTTGGAATTAAATTGTCATTAGCAAGACTTAAATTTCATAAAAGCCTTTTATTTTCCCAACATTTCTAGACAAGAGCTTAATAGTGGTTAATGATCTAGAAATCAATGCTTAATGGTATTTTATGGTCTTTGATCTAGCAAGTTAAAGTGCCCAATATTCATGTCTAGGTAGCTATTTATATAAAGTTTGCATACAAGCTGAACAACTTGCACTAGCTTTTGAACTTTCAGGCTTTCTCCCTTTTTTTGTCATACTGCTTCATTGGTTGTATTGCCTAAGTATATTCTATTAGTTTTCATTGATCAATACTATTGTTCATTTTGCATGACGAGTCTATTTAATTTTAAAGAGTTGCCATGCAATCAATCTTACAAGGTACAACACCTCTTGAAAACAATGTCCTTTGACATGATTCAAATTATAATTCTACCTATTGTTGCCAATGGAACCTAATCCAATTAGGTTATTTCGACTTAAATTAAACAAAAGAAATTGAAAGGACCAAGCAAGCCTAGCCACTGTAAACTCGATCTTAGTGAAATAACTCCATCTTGGGTTAAGTTAGATTTAAGTAAAAGAAACTAGTTTGTGAGTGTTTCGGGCGAAGTATTGAACAATGTTAAATACCTGATCCAACCTAACCTATGTATACTCATCTAGAAATAAAACATGGTTAAAATTTAGTTTTTTTAATCCTTTTCTTTTGATAATACTAACAAGTTTCTAGAAGTGATATTGATCCTTGACCTATTCAACGGTTTGATCACAAGTATAAGATTATTTTATTAACATTTTCCCCTTTACATATATAAGGCTCAAGCTAAAAACCTTATTTATAATAAATAAGCATTGAACCACTTGAGCTGATAATTATTGTCCATGAAACGTAAATTCTTTGGGGGGAAACATGAGTGCACTATACTAAATAAATCAGATTCAAAGTTTGTTCTTATGTTGCACTCTAGAAGAATCGAATTTCAAGTTTCAACTAATGTAAAGGGAATTTATGTGACGTACTTTGGACTTTGGACTTTGGACCAGTTCAAGTCTAATACAGATGAACTGAACCCAATGATTTGGTGATATACTGTTACTTTAACGACCAACTAAATTGATTTCTTTAGTCCATTCACAGATCCACTCAAGCTTGTGCTTTCAATTTGATTCCTTTCACTCATATTATTTCAAACTGAGGCAATTCCCATGCAATTTCATCACCAAAATTCTTCCATAATTTTAATACCATGAATCTATAACATTTGGAATCTGGACCTGCCTTGACTGAAATAGGGGGCCAGAATTAAAATCTTTTATTTTCTGTTTTTGATTCTTCTACATTTAAATTTATTAAATCTGTTAGGATAATGTGAACGAGCGTGAGAAAATAAATAGTTTTACAGATTCTTTTTGTTTGTAAAATGAAAGGAAATAAATTAAAAAGAATTAAATTCAGGCCAAAAATTTAAAAATTAAGTTGACAAAATTTTGCCAAAAAAAAAAATAAATCCATGTACCCTCAGATAAAAAATAATAAAATGATAAATATTGCCCAGTAATGATGATAATATAATAAATATTACATATCTCATTTTTCAACAAAAATATTCATTCTCATGGTAATAATGTAGGGCAAAATATTTTGCCAATATTTCATAAGTAATCAGATATTTATGTTTGCATAATGAGCACAAGTGGCTAATCTTTGGTAATATTGTGGATAATTAAGTAATATATTTTTTTATGGAGCTTGAAACATATTTTTAACTTTTTATAATTTATGAAAGATACAACTCGCTATAGATTTTATATTTTATATTGAATATTGTAGATGTTTCAAGACCAAAATATCTTTATTAAATGCAATCATATTCAAAACATGACTAAACATTAAATATAAACATTCTCCCAGAATGAATTCAAAGTTTTGAATCTTTATTTGTTATGTTATAAAAAAATAATCCTTTTTTATTAAACTCAATCCTATTGGTTGAAGTCCAAAGAGATGTGTCGTTAGTTAGGCATCGAAACTATGGAGTGTTATGTACTTTCATGACATATATGCAGTTAAGTGTAAACCAATTTGATTTCTCATGAATATCTAGTAATAACCGTAAACCATTGACTATTGAGTGCCACTTTCGGCCATCCTTGTCAAGAGAACCAAACGGATTCATAAACTAGAAACCCTCAAATCCATTACAGTCATAAATTAACAAGACACCAAGGTGTTAAATTTTCCTCCAAGAGGAATTTTGGCAAGTGGGAACTCGTACTACATTGAAGTCCAACTAAAGGCCCAACGGAACAAAAATTGAAAAAGATTCTCAAAATCCTAAACCATAAATACTTATTTGGACCACCTTTCCCTGTTCCAGTTGTTGGTGGAGTTTTTTTGCTCAAATAACCAAATTGCTCTCATTAACATTGCCCAGAAAAATAGAAAATAATAGAGGCATAGCTATTCATCTCGTATTAACAATTTAGGCTCCTGAATTCCCTATGCATTTATAGAAAATAAGATTGCAATTTTCCATACATATTGGACCAGATGATTTCATTAGCTTTCTGTGATGCCTGGAACATACAAAGATTCACGTACTGCCCAAGAGCTCATACTAACTTGTTGAACTGATATCTGATACAAGAACGAGCAGCAGCTGGAAGAACTAACATGGTTTCAAGTTAACGAGATACAAGTTTTATATTCCTCCAGACTTCTATGAAAGATTCCACACAAATTTAGTTCAAGTGAAAATAAAAAAATCCATCTGCATTTTGCTCATAGGAAAATAGTTGATCTTGCTAAATAAAGGACAGGAGTAGAGCCGGGAATAAGAGCCGGGTCTGGAGGGCCAGGCCTAAAAACCCTGTTTAAATAAGGGTTCGGCTTTGAAAATAAATTTTTTTTAAAGTAATCGGACTTGAGGGTTAGGCCCTGATAAGCCCTGTAAAATAGGGCTCGGGTCCGGGCTGCCCTTCAAGCCCTGTTATATTATTTTTATTATTATTTTTTTTAGTAAAACACGTGTTTGAAATTAATGACCTGCTCACCTGATCCTACATACATTATATTATTATTAATTTTAATTTATTTTAAAATTAATTTCATATAATTTAATAAATATCAGTGTATAGTATAAAATTTATGATATTTTTTATTTTTCTATAATTATTATGTTTGTATATTTATAAAAAAATGAACTATTTTTTAAATGAAGATTTAAATTTTATTACTAGACTTCTAATGTATGTTATTTAATTTCTAAAAAATTATGATGATTTTAATTTTTTTAATTTTAAAATATTTTAATTTATTTATAATGTTTAATTTTATTTTAGTTTTTTTATTTTTTAAAAAAGGGCTTACGGGCCTGGCCTGAGCCCTGAATATAAGGGCCGGGCTTAAAAAATGGGGGGTCAAAATGAAAAACCGGGTTTTATGGCTTAAGCCCTAGAGGGCCGAGCCCATAAAGACCAGGCCCGCCCGTATTTCCAGCTTTAGACAGGAGTACTCTGGAAGTAAAATAACTTGTCAGTTGACCAAATTGATTAAATGTTTTTTGGTAAAAAAAAAAATTGGGATTCAAATAAGAGTGACGATCAAATGAAGGTAAAGAAATTTTCTCAATGGTTATTAGATGTTGGCGATAGAAAGATTGGATTACCACAAGATGGGATAGCAAAAATAAAAATTCCTACAGATTTATTGATTATAAATTACATAGACCCATTGCAAGCGATTGTTCATGAAACGTATTCTGATATTTTAGACAAGTTATCAAATAATGACTACTTCAATGAAAAAGCAATACTAGCACCCATAATTGATGCAATAAATCAAGTGAATGATTATCTGTGCTCAATATTACCAGGTAAACCCATTGGATTTTTCAGTTGTGATTCTACTTGCAAATCAACCCAAGACAAAGATTGCTTTGATGACTTATATAATACAGAATTCCTTAATTCCATTAATAGCTCTGGGTTGCCTCCACACAAACTTAGTTTGAAGGTTGGTGCAACAACTATGCTGCTCAAAAATATTATTCAAGCTGTAGGACTATGTAATGATACTAAACTACGAATCGCTAAACTTGGACAAGGTGTAATCGAGGCCATCACATTAAAAGGATCTAGACCAAACAAAAAGGTCCTTATTCACAAAATGGATATGAATCCTTCTAAAAATAGATGGCCATTTTGAATATAAAGAAGACAATTCCTTGTGACTTTGTCATTTGCTATGACTATCACTAAGAGTCAAGATCAATCTCTACCGCATGTTAGACTTTACTTGACAAAGCCTGTATTTATTCATGGCTAGTTATATATTGCTCTCTCAAGAGTTCGGTCATTGGAATGTCTTAAAATCCTTGTGCATGGTAGTGACAACATAGCCAAAAATGCCACTGCAGATGTAGTGTATAGAGAGATTTTTCATGATTTGGATAGGATTAGACGTTGAAATTCATTCATTGTTGGGATGGATCTTCAACTCAACTTACCGCGTTGAACATTATTGTAATAAGTTGACAACTTTTGATTGCTTAGTTTACGCAAACAACCAGTGAATTATATATATTACATATTTGTTCATGTTATTTGATATTTCTAGCAAATAAATGGTTTAAATTTGTCCAGTTAATTTAAAGCTCCCATACAATAAACGGGTAGTTAATGCTAGTTGAATGGAATGAAATGAGAAAAAATTAAAAAGATTTTATAGATACAAATGTCACTTTTTCTCTTGAATGGAAAAAAAGATATAAACATAATCAGTCACTATTAAGTAATGAAAACGAGGATATAATAAATATTACCTATGCCGATCTTTGTGCAAAAGAGAGTGCCTTTTGATTGAACAAACCAAATAGGTTCTTAGTCTTTCAAGTTCATTTATGATTTACAGCTATGTGCTCAAACATGAAGAAAACATTTTGCACAATGGTGACAAAGTCTGTCTCCATGAAGCAAGTATTAAGTTGATGGATGAACAGATGGTTCTTCCCATGCATTAAGCTCAATCAATACTATACTAGGCTAAAAGGCACAATCGAAGTGCATATGTAATTTGCTTATGGGAAAATAATTCGTCTTATTAAATGAGGGACAGCAGGGCTCAGTGGGAGCAAGAAGTATTACCTTCAGGAAAGACAATAAAGCATCCATGAACCAGTGCAGCCACTTCACATCAACAAAACTTGTAGTCTTCCAGGTTCAACTTTCAGTCAGTGTGACGGGGGCTATGTAATCAAACTTGGTGGTGTTTAGGTACATCAGCAATGAAATCCAGTGCCATGTTGATAACAAAGCCTTGCCCATTTCCAGACAGATTCACCTATAAGAAATAACTTGAAAACTAAAACAAATCATATGATTTCAGCATGTAATACAAAGTTAATAGCAAAAAGTAAACAGAACTAGAAGAAACTAAAATTAAGCATTCCACAAAAAGTTTCTTCAGCTGAAAAAAACCCTATTGAATGATGAACGTTGTAGAGTGTCCGTTTCATCTCACATGGCTTCTGGGAAATGCAGAAGGCAAGCCACTCAAGGAAGAGGGAAAAAGAGAGTTACAACTCCCAAGTTGAGGCCTCTTCACATGCATGGTCATAAAATGCAAGTACATTTTCATAGAAGAGCTTATGTATGGAAGCTTTTCATTTTAAAGAAATTATTTAATGTTCGCATTTGTATAGAAACTTACAAAAGACTGGATGAATAATGGCTTCAAGACTAAGCCATTTATAATCTATAGAATTATAGCAAACTTTGGCCACAAAAAATTAATTTATGGTAAGCAAATTTATATGATTTTTCTCTGTCTTCTATAATATCCGAAAACAAGAGGCTGTATCCTTCCAGTTTCAATCATATTAAAACCAGTCAAACTCTATGTCTGTTGAAGTCATAACTAACGTAGTGAAAATGATTGACGTAACAAGTTGGCCAAAATAACCACTTAGTTCTGAAAATATCTTTGTTTACCTGCTAGGGTTCTCAAATCTTTTGCATCTCAGGTCATCATGGAACGTGTGCATTGTGCACTGTAAAATTGTAAAGTAATTCTTCCATCAAATTGAACATGTTAGCCTCTGATCAACTTAGTGCCTGATAAACATTACACAAGGAGAAATTCAGAATCTGCATTAAATATGGGAACAAGAACAAATAAAAGAAAAAAATTTATTCCATGAGTGGTTTTTTAGTGAATCTCATGATTAAAAAACACATTGGCGGTATTCATATAAATGAAATTAAAACCTGATTGGATAATCAACCAAAGGCCTGGAAAGGAGAGAAGGCCATATTTAGGAACTGGCAACATCTATTTCCTACTTCATATGTAATGGCAAGGGTAATTTGTACCACAGGAACTCGCAATGAAATTGTTAAAAGGTACAGATACTAACTCTAGTCCAGCACAAAGATGCACAAGTTCATACATGGAAGAGAGAGATTGATAAAAACTAAAAAGATGAGACAAATTCTCCCAAATGGGAAAAAGAAAGAATGAGAAGAATTTAAGAAAGGAAAAATAGCATAAAATTTAACATACCTAAGCTATCTTTGGTGGTAATCATCCTGTTTTCTAACTTTTGAGCAGCCTCTGTCATGCCTTGTCTATTATAAGCCTGGATCATGCTAGCAAATGTGATGCTATCAGGCTCACATTTTCTTTCTCTCATTGCCAGGAATAGCTCACCCATTTTATTTAAGTCACCAGCTCGACCATAGGCACTAATCATGCAATTGAAGAAGGGAGTGTCCAATACTACATCAGAATTTTCCACTTGCCTCATGGTTGAGTCAACTTTTTCTATGTACCCAGCTTTACTGTATGCATTGACCAGAGAACAGTAAGTTATAGAATTAGGCTTCACTCCTAGATGCTTCATTTTCTTAAAGTATCTATCCATCTTCTCGATTTCTCCAGCTTTCCCAAACACCTCAATTATTGTGTTATACGTTACAATTGTTGGAGAGAAAAACCTCTTTTCCATGAAATCCATGACAGACTTCATCTTATCATAGAGGCCTGCTTTACCATAGGACCTTATCATGATATTGAATGTCTTGATGTCTGGTTTTATTCCCATTAGCAGAAATTCCTCATACCACTTCTCCATCTTCTCAATTTGCCCACTATTTCCATAGACTCCTACTAAAGAATTCAACGTAAAAACATCAGGATGGCAGTTGCCGATTTCAATCATATTTGTCAGAAAATACTCCATTTGCTCAAACATACCAGCTTTCCCATATCCGTCTATAATGGTATTGTATATCACATTATTATTTTCAATCCCCAGATATGACATTTCAGCAAGAATGTGCTCAATCAAATCAAACTGGCGGAGTTTTGTGCAACTATTGAGAAGAATGGAATATGTATATATATCAGGTTTGCAGTTAGTGACTGCTTTCATATCTTCAACTACATGAAATGCCTTATGAAGTAGACCACTTTGAGCATAAGCACTTACAAGAGCAGTGTAGACATCAATAGTAGGTTTGATCCCTTCAGACAACATGACCTCAAATAGCAGGCTGGCCTCCTCTGGTTTCCTGCACTTGCCAAGCATCATCAATAATTTTGTGTATGTTTGGCATCTTGGTTTATACCAAAGCTGCTTACGGAGAAGAGCAAAAATCTGCAAAAGGGAAATCTCTTCAAGATATATCGGAAGGCTTAAGTTAATCTCATCCCAGATTTTATGGCCCAGAAGTAATATTGACATATGTGCCTCCCACAGTGGCAGCAATGCTAAGTTGCTGACACTTAGTGTAGTGATCCCAAAGTAAAAAAAAAAGAAAAAAAAGAATTGAGAAGTGGCATAAAGGGAAGTCGCCGTTGTCAATTACAAAATACTAAGGAATGTAACATCAGAAAATTCTGTTTTTTTTATTTAAACAAATTAAATAGACTATGCAAATTTTCAAAATTAAAAATGAACTAAGATTACTGTTTGTTTGATAGGAGATCGAAGATGAAGTCACCAAATCGATAAAGGTTCTTGACTACATTCAATAATAACCGTATTCATGAATCACAATATGAACTAATTTATCTGATGCAATAAAATATATAACACTAACAGAAGCAATATTAAAAAAAACAACAGACTGTGAAACCAATCCATGCAACAAACAAATGGCGTCACCAATAAGCTGACAACCCGAACTTAGGGAAGCACCACGAACCTTAAGAGCAGCGTCCCAGCGAATTTCTTTGATAGCTTCATCCAAAGCTTCCAGAACAGCCTTGGGCCATAGCTGTCTGTACTTCCTAGAATTAGCCTTGTTCTCAACACCCCTAATAGCAGCTTCCGTTCTGAGAATCCGAGACAAGGCCTTCTTGGGGTCTTTCTGGAGCCCAGAGGATACGGGATTGGAGCCTTGCTTCGATGACTGGACATAGAAACGACGTAGCTTTGGGATGTTGCAAGGTTTTTCATTCAGGACATTCGCGAAAAGGGTAGCGGGCGTTGAGTAGAAGAAAGATGAGCAGCACAAGTTATTGGGATCCGCCAGGAGATGAAGCTCCATTGCAGTTGCGGGAGAAGACGATGGGGACAAGGACCACAATGGCTTGAAGGGGGAGAAAATCAGAGAGATAATCTAATTATGAATTGTGATGGAAAAAAAATAGTCAATATCGTTATTACATGAATCCTAAACAAAATATTTGATTAAATTAGTGTTAGTTCAGTGATTTATTAATTTTTTTTTAACCTGTCAATGATTTATCAATTCACTTGATGGGGATGATTTATTTTTAATATTATTGTGATTATGATAGATAAGAGGATTTTGGGGTGTTTGGAAACCCCATCCAACACCATCCCAAAATCCTTTTCTTGTTAAGTTTATTTTAATGAAAAAAAAAATTATTTTCAGAATCCATTTACAATACTTAATGTTTATGTTTGTTTAGATAGTCAAAAATTAATTTGTTAAAAGTTCATTTAATAAAAATAATTTTTTAAAAAAACTAATTATTATAATAAAATTTAGATTTAGATACATTTTTTTCAAAAATTAATTTAATAAACTGAAAATTGTTTAAATGATATATAATGAAAAATATTTTTAAATATATAATTACTCAAAAGTACATAAATTTTGTAATATGAAATTTTTAGTATATAAAATTTGATATGCAAAAAAAATTATAAACAATTCTATATATTTAAGAATAAAATTTAACATGGTATAAAAATTGATTTTATTAAACATTGTTGATAGCATGATGTAAAAATTGATTATATCTATTTTTTCAAAAAAAAAATTGGTCAATGGAACCCATTTATTTTAAATTTTGAGAGATATTGGATGACCTTATTTTGTTTTTAAATTAAAAATAAGTTAAATTACAACTGTACAGAGAGGCTCATGAACCCACAAGAAGAAATACAAGGCTGACGAAAGAGTTCTTAGGAAATGGGAGATAAAGTGGGGTAGTTTATTTTTCAACTTTCAATTTAAATTGGCTTCATTTTCAAATGTAAAATCTAGAAAAAGTAATGTTTAAAGCTTTCTGATCGTGCTATTGGAATAAACTTTGAAAAATATCCATGGAAACCAAACAATTTTGGTATCCTTAAATCCACAAAAGTCAATGTAGAAAGCAGGAAAACCAAAGAAGTCCTCGAACATGTAAAAAAAAAAAAAAAAAACTCAGTTTGGCAATGCAAACAACATTTACTCCTATAGCAAGTGGCAGACGCAAGATCCTGAGTCAATAGGAGGCATAATTAAATAAAATTTAAAAATAATAAAAAATAATTTAATATTTAGTTTTGTAAAATAATATTAAGAAAGGAAAAAATTAAAATGATATTTTCATAAAAATAACTTAAATTTAAATATAATGTACTCAAAATTTAAAACATTTCAAACTTGAGTGAAATATAAAAGACCTAAAAATTTCTTGAACTCAAATATGTTTTAATTTGGGTTTAGTGGGTTCAAAACTATTAGAATAGTGGGGGAAAATTTTTAAAATTTTCGCGTCTTCCTTGTAAATTTTTTTCAAATTGAGTGGGGGCACTTGCCTGCCCTCAACTATGCCTAGGTCCACTACCTCCAGTTCTCTTTATAAGTTATTTTCATTAACCTCATCAATATCAATGCAAAAAAATATAAGGAATAAAAGTGTGTAGAATTCTAAATATGCATCTATATAACAAATTCAAAAAGTAGTGTCACATTAATTTGAAAGATAATTTTAAAAATATTTTTTAAATATTACCTAAAAAGATGTATTATGATTTATAAATAGAACCAAATGAATCTATAAGAAAGTGCCTTCTAAATAGGATCAGGGAGTACTTAGTATACACTAAGACATCATCAACATTGAATATTGTTAGATTTAATATTTTTTCTCTCTTTACTTGAGAATGATGTTGAAAATTACAGTATATTAATATATATATATATATATATATATCTCTCTCTCTCTCTCTCTCTCTTCTGACGGCATAGATGTAATAAGCTCTACTCAAATGAAACAAGTATTGATGGAGATATTGGTTTCTCCTCCCCCTAAAATATTGTCAAAGACATTAAGCTCAATTTTTGAAGAGCATCTTAATCAAAGTTATTGAGACTCCCACACACTAAAAAGAGAACACCACAAGAAGGTTAGACTAGATTGAATAATAATGGCTTCGTTGACAAAGAAATGGAACTACATATGAGGCTTTCATATAAATGATATTTAATCACAAGTTTTATCAAAAATGTTAGGGTACATGCATCATGCTTCTATAAAATCAGTTTGAGACTTGGTTAGAACTAAGGACACAAACAAAGTTTATTGCTTTCAGTTCATCAAAAGTTTATCAAAAGTCTTAAGAATTATCAATTGAGAATGCTTTTAGCACCACTCACTTATCAATTGGATAAGAGAAATCTGAGATCTCATGTATAACTGGATTGTCACCTTTACTCTCATGACTAAGAAAGCAAATTGTTGTGCTAATTGGCTTGTCAAGAATATCATTTAAATGATGATGATGTTATTCTTGATACTCCTATTAAGTATGAATACTTACTTTCAAATGATATTTACTTGTGGATTAAGGTAAAAAATTATCATAAACTCTTTCTCCAAAAATTTCTAATATGTTTAAATCAATAATGATACATAAATATTTATTAATTTTATAAAAGAGTCCAACTTTTATCAGCCTCTTTAAATAGTTTAACATTAATCGTTAAATTTTAAAGATAAAACTTAACAGATTAGATAGCGTTAGTCTCTTTCATAAAATTAATGATATCCGTGCACTATTGCTAACTTCATAATATCAAAAGTTCCTAAAAAAATTATAAATATTTTTGTACTTTAACCCTTAGTAATTAGCTGCTCACAACTAGTCTACCTCTCTTTATTAAAGAATATATTGAGTAACCGATATAAAAATTATAATAAATGACATTATTTAGAAATTATAAATTGAAGAGTTTACTTCAAATTCTATATTATACGAAGAATGTTCCTTAGGACAAAGTTTTTTTTTTTTTGGAAAAATCACTCTAAGGTCTTATGGAAGCATTTAAAATACACTGAGGTATCATGAATTAAAGAAATCATTGCTAGATCCCAAGGGACTTAAGGGTGAATAAATCTGAAAATAAAATTATCAATTTGCCTTGTATTTGAAATACTTGAAAATTACTCTGTTTCTCACTAACCCACAAAAGCTGAAACCCACAGTGGACGGTTCTGTATTCCTCATTCTAACATCTTTAAAATTCATCGCTGACCACCATTCTCGCAGTCGCATTCTGTTAGAAAAGACTATAACATCTCTTGTCAGAGAGTCCAAGACTAGAAGGAGTAAATAAAGAAAGCAGCGAGCTCCTATTTCACTAACTCAAATATGCCTTAACCGCCATCATCGGACTTTCTCTGTAGTAGTCTAGTCTGGCAAACAAATTTGTAGATCCCAAAGAAGATATACTCTTGACTTGCTTAAGGATACTAGTATAATTGTTTGTAAACAGAAAGAAGAAAGGAGATAATGATCTGTTGTATAATGACTAAGGTTATGTGAATAGTTTCTGAAATTAGTACTAAATTTTCATTTTTGCTTCAATTTTCATCTTTGAAGACTTATAAATAATCAAGTATATTTCTTAGTTGTTACAAAAGTGTAGCTATGCATAAGATTTTTGTAATCAAATATAATCATGGTTTTTCTTATCAAGATGTTGGTGTATTGATGACAAAATTCTCAATTCTGCTTAAAAATTTGTAATTTTAAATATCTATGAATTTTTTCATTGACAACAATTGCTTTTTTTGTTGACAACTATCATATATTCTATTGACAAAAATTATTTATTCCATAAATAAAAACTAATTACTCCAATAACTACAACCATAAACTCTATTGACAACAACAATATGCTCTATTGACTAGTAAACCATCATAATTAGTGAACTATTTTCCTCTATGACTTGTCTTTTCTTCTTCTTTATGGATATTGATAAACAATGCCAATGCAAAAATCTCTGAGTTGGAACTTAGTATTAATGACTAGTATGCAAAAATCTCTTTTCAACATATCTAATTGAACTTCTCTATTTTTTTTTTTAGATAAAGGAAGATGGAAGATAAAGTGATGACAATGGTGAAGAAATATACTATTCCATCCATACACACTGCTTTCCTAGTCAATTTAGTGAAGTAGCAAAATATGTGAAGGAAAATGAGAAATTATGAAAAGGGTAGAGAAGTTAGGATTTGATAGACTGCTTGATGTGTCTTGTAAAAAGATTTTTTATAAAACTTTAGGATATAATTTTATTGATAATCATATCCTTTTATATAATTAGCCCATTTTGTGTAGTTAACTTTGATAATGTTATTATGAATGCTGATTACAAGTTTGTGAATGTAGCAAACATTGAATGTTGACAAGTGTTTATCACTTTAATAACAAGTAGTTATAAGTATATTGACAAACTATTAATTTGCCATTAACAAGTGCTGAAGCACTAGGCTAGGTGTTGTTATTCCCTTAAAAAATCAACCAGTTAAAAGAACATGTTAACCACTTGCCGTTGGAAATTAACAAGTGATTATAACTATATTGACAAGGTAGTAATTTGCCATTGACAAATGCTGAGTCACTAAGTGCTATTATTCCCTTTAAAAATCAACAAGGTGCAAGAACCTATAGACTATTTCCCATTAACAATTGACAAATGGTTATAACTATATTGACAAGGTAGTAATTTGCTATTGACAAGTGCTGAGGCACTAGATGTTATTATTCCCTTTAAAAATCAACAAGATGCAAGAACCTATTGACTACTTATTGTTGGCAACTGACAAGTGATTATAACTATATTGACAAGGTATTAATTCACCATTGACAAATGTTGAGGCACTAGGTGCTGTTATTCCCTTTAAAAATCAACAATGCGCAAGAACCTGTTGACTACTTGCTGTTGGCAATTGATAAGTGGTTGTAACTATATTAACAAGTTAGTAATTCACTATTGACAAGTGTTGAGGCACTAAGGGCTGTTATTCCCTTCAAATATCAACCAAGTGCAAGAACCTGTTAAGTACTTGCCACTGGTCATTACTTACAAGGTATCACTTCATTTATAAGCTATGCATTTGCTATTTGCTAATATATTAGATGTAATAAACAAAAAAGTAAACAAAAAATAAATTCTAGATACATAAACAAAAAAATACATTTGTCTCTAATATTTTCTAGCATGGATTAGGATTCTTGTAAGTCTTGAATGTATGATAGTCTCATGGCATCTTTCATGATGATAAATCCTTTTATTTTGGAATTAAGATTCCCTTCTTTTATTCTTTGACCTACCTGAAGCCTTCTAGTCATTGGTGCCCCCCTATATGGAAAAAACATAATATATGTTCTCCAGAAGAACTTGCCATTTTATAGGTTAACCTGCACCACACACAGTGTATTGACAATTACACACGCTGTATTGACAACACATTCATCCACTATTGACAAGATGCAATGTTGTTTCATAGCAAAGATTTTTCAACAAAATAAGATTGCATTAGATGCTTGGGAATAATTTATAAAATGTCTCATAAGAAAAAAAAAACATAATATAATACACATTTTCTAGTAGTACTTGCATTCTTATAAGTCAACCTACATAATATAGTATATTGATAACTATTCATAGTATATTGAAAACACAAGAAAACACTATTGATAACATGTAGAGTTATTCATATTGGATATTTTTCAATGTATCAATATTGCACTAAATTATTTCATATATTAGCTCTGCAAACCAAATGTTTACAAGTATACCCAGAAAATATTATCATACCCTTAACAATAATAAAATCATTAACGCACAAGAAATCATTTACCTAGCTAACAATGGATATGCTGCTGTTAATTGGTGATTTACCCAATCGTTTACTCAAAAAAATTGTTTTCTGTCGATGAAATGCTATTATTGTAGATGAAACACTCCCAACTTGATTAATGCCACCGTGATCAACAAGTATGGATATGCAACAATTTTCAGTAACTCTAATCAAGGGTTTCATGAGACAAGCAGGCACAAGCAAAATCTCTTTTTTAATGTTAAAGGGTAAATAAGTAATTTTATTTTCAGGCTTATTCACCTTTAAGTTTCTTAAAATTTGATAGTAATTTCTTAAATTCATGAAACTTTAAAGTATTTTAAATGTTTTTATGAGACATTTGAGTGATTTTCCCCGTTTCCTTAGCTCTCACTCTCTAGTTTTATTTTTATGGCCTTCTTCTCTCCATAATGTAATTGGATTTTAGGATTTGGGCCCATGAACGAGGGAGAACATGGCTTTCATTTGTTGGGCTATCTTCTTAAGTTTGGGATTCAAAAAAGGCCCAAAATTAGAGCAAACAATCACCGTTCCCCGTTTCCCGAATCGATAGCACACCTGGTGGGACTCGAACCCACAATCGTCTGATTAGAAGTCAGACGCCTTATCCATTAGGCCACAGGTGCTGATTGTGAGGCACCCGTAATATAAATTTTTATAAGCTTTTCTTTTTCTGAAACAAAAGCCCTGTGTGTTGCGAATGGACTGTACGTGAAATTGAAATGCCAAGATAACCGTAACCAATTCTTCTAAGGGTGAGATCCCATACTGGTGAGGAATACCTAATCTATATTTCCGTTTTTGGCCCTGTTTACTTTTCTAAAAGCCTTGGCCCTTTTGTTTTGTCACTGACTTCAGAGCTGAAAATTGTTGTGCCTTTCATTCATTCATTAAATGTTTTGAGCTGTCTATAAATGAGTTTGATATGAAGAAATCATGCATTGGTAGTTCTGGATAGAATAAAATGTCAATAGGACGAGGAGATTCATATGCATAGCATATTTCTACGAATCTTGTAGCTGTCAAAGTTAAAACAAGACTGAAAAAATAGAGAAGACCTAGAAAGAATTACATCATATATTATCGTTCGAGTGGTAGAAAGGTTTTGAGTTAACATTACGATGTCGGGAAAACTTGGGGAATGAAGGAGTTTCGAATTTCATCCATCTAAGGAATTTCAATCTTCTCATGTTCAAATATTTTAAGATCATAGCAGCATTTATATGAAATAAACAGTTACAATGTATGTTAGGTTTATAGTCTGTTAAAAATACATTTATCAAACACACTTTCAAATTTTAACCTTTAAAAGTTAGCCTTTACTAGCCACTCGGTTCAGGGAAAACTATTGATGTCATTTGGAGATAATTATACTTGGTTAAAGTTAAATAGTAGCATAGACTAAATTACTTAGAAAAATACCCTTGATTTTTCATATATTTACAAGTTAATTTATAACGATGACGTTATTATTATTAAAAAACGGAATATAACTTATGATTAACCACAGCTTAAGAATAAAGTGTTATGTTGTAAGGTTTGTCACTAGGGGATAAGTCACAACTCACAAATATAAAATGTAATGTAACTATTACTTAAATTTTTTGACTAAATACATTATTAATATTAGATAAATTATATTCTTAATTTCTTATCCAAATAACCAACACTAGTAATAGCCTGGGCAAATTTATACGTTCACATTGTCATTAGGGGATAAGCAAATCAACAGGCCAAGAGCACCCATGAAGTAGGCTACGAGATTGTTTTGATTAAAGAGATGCCGTCAAATCATACTGTATTTGGTCGTGAATGACGGGCAGGCTTTGACCTAGCCTTGTTTTTGATTTGCTTCTTCGGTTTTTTTTTACAAGCTTTGGCAGCATTCCATGTATCATGTTAAAATTTGTTCATAGATACAGGAAGTGTTATAATATTTTTGAACAATGAGGCAAATTTGCCTTGTCTTGAAAAGCAGAAGAAATATAAATTGTATATTTTACCCACTACTGAAACATTAATCATGACATTAGTAACAGTAAAACTAAAAAATTATTATGATTTTATATGTATTCAACTAACTAATAATTTTTTATTGATATGTAAAATTCTGTTAAAAACACCTTATATATAAGAATAAAAAATAATTTACAAAAAAAAAAAGTAATATATGGATGGTAATTAGATCGATAAAGAAATTCATTCATTAGACGGGATAGTAAGGTGCAGTCAACGGAGGAGGAGGCTACCGCCATATGCTCAAGATAAAACTACACTAGACACACACACACAAAAGGCAATTCAAAACTGCAGCAAAACTCACATTGGCAAACGTCCAATAAGAAGGCAATTCCAAAATATAATTCTGCCTCCTCGAGTCACTAAAACTCCTGACTACAGCAGCGCAATGAACACTAATGCCTTGTTACTGATGGTCTGAATCAGGCTTCCTTGCCAAAAAGAAATACATTGGTGTGAAGATCTCCTTCCTGAAACAGTCAGTCATCCACAATTATGTCTATGTTTCTAACATCTTGTCGCCGGCGTTTTTTTTTTTTTTTTTTTGGACGGGGTAGGGGAGACAGAGAAAAATTATAAGCCTGTGTAGAGATTGCTTAGAGAATTAGAGCCTGTTAGACAATATATCACATTCATGCTTATTTTGAATTCTATTTTTTAAAAAGAATTTTTCGGTAAGCATCTTGTCGTATCATCTGATAAGTGGTTATATCAATATCATGAGTGCTTGGCCTATCTTCCAAAAAGGAACATTTTACTATCAACAAATCATTAGAAAAAAGATATTTTCAGGAGAAGAATAAGGTTGGATAATGCATGACATTTTATTTTGACAACGAACGGTTTTGTTCGAAACTAAATTCATGCTTCTGCATCTGCTGAAAATGAAAAACAGAGGGAAGGAAAACTTACCTTCCGCCTTCAACTAGTCCCTCTGCAGCCTTTTCTAAGAAATCTTGAACCCTGACACTTCCCTTGGGTGCCAGTCCAACATACTCAAGAGCCTTAACCTACAATTTGGAGCCAGTCAACGAATACTAATAGAGTTCATAACATTTGATATGGAATCATAGTAGTTAGCAAAAAGAAAAATGATATGGAATCATAGTTTCTATGATTGAATTGAATGGTCAAGTGTTTGATCCTTGTTGCTCATGAGTATAATAGTTCATCTCCTTCATGTAAATGTTTAAATTATTTTTAGTTGAAATACAAAGAATAGTCAAGATATTCAGTAGCATTACCATGTTTCTTGTGAATAGTCGGCCAACAGATGTTAGACGGAAACTACTTAGCGAGAAGTGACTTTTATCCAAAGGCAAATACCAAGGAATAGGAGAGTCCTCTGCCAAATCTTGGTCCCATATGACCTTTGTAAACAAAATAAATGGATCTCCTCTTAGTCCATTAGGTTGATCGTCTCTAAAAGCTGAAATAACAAAACTAGTGAAAGGTGAAAAGGTTTGAAGTTAACCTCAAAACCTGCTTGCTTCAGAGCTTCAAGACACTTTGTGGTCAATCTAATGTCAGGGAGCCCATCGCCAAGCTCAATTTCTGCCTGTACCAATTAAACCAATCTATATAGTTACAACTCATCATGAGGCTTCACATAGATAGATCTGGTCCATAAAAGGCAGATAGACAGACTGCAAAAGCCTTCTGGCTTTAGATATCATTAGGACTTAGTCTCTTTGCACGGTTTGCCGTGGCCTTTGTATTAAAAAAAAAAAAACAATAGATAGACAAAAGCAGAAGTCATAGAGACACATAAGCATGTCAGAAGCATCTCATTAAAAAATATGTATCTGACATGCTTATGTGTCCTACATGACTAACTTGATCTATCTTTCCTCCACTGGATCCACCAAATATTATTCAGTTCAAGAAAATGAGTAGGTAATGTCAATCTAATTTCCTTCAACGCCACGATATTATATACCTTTATTTTTTGATGCTTTTGGTTACTAGAATCAAAGGAACTAGTCATGCACCATTCATACGCAGCAAAAAGTTGACCAGGCTTCAGCACTCTATAAATCTCTTTATAGCATCCATACTAAACAAATCAGAAGTGTTAGACCAATACAAAAAAAGAAAGAAAGAATTCTAAAAGAAACAGAAATAAATAAATAAATAATTCTAAGTTCATAATGTGCTTCATGCTTATGCATGATCACGTCAGAAGTTGGTCCTTACAGCATGACCCTCTGTAAGAGCTCATGTTAAGGAAGCATAGACATTGACACAAACAAAGCCGCATGACTAAACGAGAAATGTCCAGAAACAATTCAAGGTTAGTGTAGTGTTTAATGTGAGAATTTGACACATGACAAACATAACCTCTTTAAGTGTGATTTTTTCATATTGGTAGTATTAGGAGAAAATAGGTCTAAATACTCTGTTCCCTCTCTCTCACATACAGCATAAAAAAGGGCACGAACCGCATCTGGTGCATGACAGGTAGCTTCAATTGCATACACTGCATCAAAAGTATTGTCTGGGAATGGCATTTTCATAAAGTCAGCCTGCATTGACAGATTATTTATGATCATGTCAGCCATAAGCCTTAAATATATTATTTAATCATTAAAATATGCATGAATTATCAGAGTAGTAGAAGTATTACAAATGTGAAAGCCTCTCCATATAACAAGAACAATAGCATAGAGAAATTTGTGCATCTGTGCTAAAAACCAGACGGACAACACTTCAAAAAGTAGAAGGAAAAAAAAATGATTCGAAAGATTTACCTTCACAAAGTTGCAAGTCTTATCCACACCAGATATGCGATTGAGTTCCTGTAAGCCAAAATTGCTTTTAAGTGGTCAAACTGCAGTTTTCAAAAATACATTACGGAGCAAAGATAAGAAACTAAGATTTCTTATAACTATCTACATCCCTCACTTCAAAAGCTCACCGCTTTACTAACTTCAAAACTTCATTGCAAATGAATACTACTTACTTAATGCTCAAACCAATAAATTAATGATGAGAGGAACAAGGAAATAGTGTGAAACAATTTTCAAGAAAAATAGATTTAACGATTAAATACAAATGTCAAAGTTGTTTTGCCAATTAATTTTATCTTCGTGTTGTCAAGTGGGAAACAAACACATACCTTTCCTCTGGTTATCTGATACTCATTGTTGTTCAACCCTGTAATTGATGTCAAGCTGCAAAATACCATTAAATTAACCGACTTAACATTTTTTCTCCTTCGAGGGAAAAGATTCCGAGACAAATATTCTATGAAAGAGGAAATTTTAGATCCACGAGGCAGAACAGGATAAATTCATGTACTTCAAGTATCACACCTTCCCAGATGATATAAACTCTCAATGACATTAGAAATTCCATGGAAGGTATAAAAAAATTTTATCTTTTAATTTTAATCGAAAATGGTATTCTTTTCCTATAAGTATACAGCCTATGTATTGTGAGTTTATTGAATAGGATTCCCTTGGAACTCAAGAAGGGAACTGAACTGAGGGAACCACAGAATTAAACTCGGTTTATGAAAATTGAACACACACACACACACACACACACAATATAAGATGATTACCAAAGCAAGAGAGAGTGAGTGGAATAAAATAATTGCATTTATTGGCAAGTCAAAGATGAAGGAGAAGATTCAGTCAACCTAAAAATTAGTAAAACGATCCAACCATTAACAGCTACCTCTAAGATGCTAACACATTCATCAAAAACTAATTTGGTTTTACCAATTTTTTCTAGACCAGTCAAGTTATTTCAAGTCCCATTCACCTGAAACGAGAAATTTCTCTAAGTGGTCCTCCGATTCCACATCCAACATCTAAAAACCTAAAATAAAACCCCAAAAAAAAAAAAATTCGTGAGTTTCTTAAACAGACAGTAGAAGTGTTGTTAATTTGCTCTGTTGAAGATGGAAAACCTTTTGTCCAGGTTTCAGGCCAAGTTGCAAAGCAAGAAAGTGTTCGTGTCGCTTGATGCTCTCTCGAAGTGATTCCCCTTTCCATCTAAATTAGGAGAAAATTGATATCATGCATGAGCAGAAGGCTAAAAAGTAAATTCTTCTATTTTTAAGCGCACAAATGAAGCAAATGGACACCTTGGAGCAAAATGGAAAGATTCTCCCCAACCGAACTCATAAAAGCTAGTGACAAGATCATAGTATTTATTAACCTGAAAATGGAGATGTGGTTATGCTGTTTCTGCATATAATCAATTAGCCCGCAGTTAAAATAAATAATCCAACTTGGCAAATCACAAGTTATCAACTGGCATCATATGAGAGATCAAATTATTAGCAAGGGAGAATTTTAACTAATATTACTACGAGCTTATTGGGTTATTCATCACGATTTCCATTTCCCAAGACTGACTTGTTTGATAATTAATTTAAGCACCTAAATGTCCAAAATGGTAGTTTGGACGTTGTTTCAATGCCCCCCGTCACTCCTACCCCAACAGAAACATATATCTTCTGAACGAATTGCAAGAATATCACATGATGATTTTTTTCTAAGAATTTTCTACGATTGGAACTGTTTCAGGAGTTCATCAGAAAAGCAGCTTCCCTCTACTAAATATAATTGACCAATAGCAGCTTGTAATTTCAAGTACATCAAGTTCATTCAAATATTAAAGACAAATATGTGCCAGTTGAGCCACAGGTTCGTTGGTAGAAGAACAAAAACTTCGATTGCTAAACATGAGTCTCTCTCACCATGTCAGTGTAGTTAGACTTCCTCTCTTCCTCTTCACCTCCATAACAGACATGATACTTCTCATACCTGAATCATAAGATCAAACATTTTATCATGCAATGTGAACAGCATTAATAACCAAAAATACCAAATCTAATGTATTGTCAGATAATTTGAGCTAATTAACTAGATTTAGGAGTATACTATGATTTTTCACATATCAATACTCACTACCAATAGACTAATAGTCAGTTAAGACCAAATAAACTTAATTCACTTATCATGTCCTTCCGTAAGATTATGACATGTGGTATTGAATGGGAAACAATGAACGTCATTATTACTTATTATTGAAGATTTTTATAGCAAACACGTATCCCATCGCAGGACAGAAAAGTCAAAACTCAAAGTAGTTTACTAGTTAGCAACAGTATATTGATGAATTCAAAGAGAAAGGGGAAAGAACAAAACAATAATCACAGGCAACCGAGAATTGACATCTGAATGACTAAACACAAGCTTGCAACTGATAAAAATTGAAGTTAATTGTAAGCTGTAAATAAACACTGATCAGTATGTCATCAATCCTTTGACATCAGATTCCGCACCAGAGCTTCTTCAATTATCATTCAAATCAATAATCAGCATTTCCACTGACGTAATTTTTTTCCTTTTAAACATCACAATACTAAATTACAATATGGAGCTAAAAGTAGAATCCGAGATAAAGAAAACAGAGATTCACACTTCTCAACAGCAGACAGAACTTCGGCTTTCTCAATCTTTCCACCCACGCCCAATGCTAGATCTATGGCTCCAGCTTTCGACATCTCAGGCAGAGTTTAGCTGAAACTTGCAAAGGCCAAACAAGAAGCATCAGAATCATTGATGATTTAAATTGCAAAGGATAAAATAGTTAACGAAGATAATGCAGGACTTGTCTTACATCGAAAGAACAACGTGAATCTGGAGCTGAAAGTGTAGAGAGAGAATGAGAGCAGCCAAAAACGGAAGTAAAGAGTAGAGAGAGAGAGAGAGAGCTGCTGAATTGAAAAATATGAGAAGGCGGAATGCTATAGAGAAAGAGCGGATGTGCGTGTGTGTTGTAAAGGTATATTAGCTGTCATGTGGCTATTTTGTCTTTGTGATTGTGAGAACATTGAAGAGTCAGGAGACTGTAACGGCTCTCATTGCGATGACCGGCTGCATCGTTTTCACATTTTTTGGGTCCAGTGTCTGTGTTACAATGCCGTAGCTTCCAACGCCACGCTGGTAAACAGGAACCTACAAGGACTAACTGTTCCGGCTTGGGTTTGGTCAAATTTAATTTTTTATTTATAATTCCATAAATTAATTTTTTAAAAAAGTCACAAATTATTTTATTCTATAATCTATGTCTATTAAAAATAATCATTTATTTAAAATAAAATAAAATGTAAATTGTTTTATGAGATTAACAATGAGTGACATTGTCCCAATAAAATGAGGGAGCGATTAAAAAAATGACATTTTCACTAAAAAAAAAAAACAGGGTTCTTCTCAGCCTTAAACTAGGGGACAAAAAAGTAGAATTGAGATTATTGTTACATTTAAAAGTATTCATCATTAAATAGAATTAAAGCAAAAAAATAATTTATAAAGAGACAAATAAAAAAAGGTACAAAAAGTTAAGAAAAAAATTGAATTCATTTTTAAGAGAATTCGTTATGAAACGTTGATGAGTTATCTATATTTTAGTTCTTAAGTTTATCATTAAAATTTAAATGATATGAAAAAAATTGAATTGGATAATTATATTTTTATTTATAAATATCATATTACTTTTGAAAGAGTAAAAATTCTAATATTTCAATCACAAAATTTAATGATAAAAATATAAAAATAAACCATTAATGTGTATCTCGCGTGCTTTAAAATTCTCGATGACATTAAATAATGAAATTATAAGAAAACTAATTCATAACAATTTTATGTTTTGCTGTACCATTTAAATTTATATTAAAATTGTAATTATCTACGAGATTTTGACAATAATATAGTTTAGTTTAGTTATTAATAGACTTTATAGTAATTAATTTCTTTGTATGGGACTTTAATATTATTCTCCCAAAACATTTTAACCCTACAAATTATTATTGTTTGACAAAAAATTTCGAGCAATTGACGAGAGAAACTTTTTCAATCAAAATCTGTTTCTTCTCTCTTACATGAATTGTGGGGGAGAAAAGGTCCAATTAAATTGGGATTAAACTATTCGAATTGAAGAAAAAAAATTTAAAAAAAAAAAGCCAATTTAAGCAAGTAGCCACAAATGAAGCCCAGCTTTGCCTGCAATTTTGGTGACCTAGCAAAAGAATATAATTAAGAGCACGTGGGATCGGATCCATCTTCCACTTTCGTTGAGCAGATGGGATCGTGAAATTAAACAAATTCCGACGGCTTATTAAGTATTAACATTAACCATGGTTATCAAATGTGCAAACAATTAGTGTCCAACTATAAATGGCCAATACTCTTAGGCCCTATTTGATATGTAGGCATGAATATGAAGGGATTGGGATTGTGATTGAAACTGAAATTGAAATTGGGATTAAAAGTTGAATTAGAGCTTTAAAATTATATTTGGTATGAAGTAATAATGGTAGGAAATATTTTCTTTCATTTTATTTTATAATTAAATATAAATTATAAAAAGACTATAATATCTCTTATAATTAATAAAAAAATTCTCAAAACCTATCTCTTTGCCACTCACAACCCCAATCTCCACCCTATCGTCAATCACCCATTTCAACAACATGAAATTGGGAGTAAATGCAATGACGATTCTCATTTGTGATCGGTCTCAAAGATTCAAAGGCAAATGCAACAACCCTGTTCAATGCATATTTGAAGGTAAGAAGGCGAGTATACGAGAACGATATTGATGGTGGAAGACTAAAGGAAGACAAAGGGAGAACGATGGTGATGGTGGAAGACAAAAGGAAGACAAAGGAAGACGAAGGAGAATGAAGGGAGAATGACAGGAGGTAGACAGAGGAAAAGGCAAGAAGACGAACCTGTTAGTGGTGGAGGACGGCACCGATGTTAGGGATGGCCATGGTAGACTCGACTAAGTGAGAGAATGGTGAGGGATGGAATTGGGGGGAGGAGGGTAGAGAGACAGGAGAGATAGTGTAAAGATGATGATAATTTAGTCTAGAGAAAATCAATCTCAAGATTGATTTTCAAATATCAAGGGTGGTGTATTGAGTAATCCTATATAGATGGGATTGAAATTAGAATTGAAATTGAGATTAAGATTAATTTTTTCAATACTTCATATCAAACATAAAAAACTAGTACTCCCCTATCTCTAGTCTTTTATACCAAATGAGGCTTATGTGCAAACAATTATCCTTTTGCCCGTAGGCTTTACTCTATCACCATTTCCTTTTTGTCTATATAATTGAGGTGTGGTCAACTGGTCTCATGTGTTTATTCAACTATTTATCTCTCTTTTAAAATAAATACATCATTTTCATTCCAAAAGAATAATAAAAAATACATAGTTACATACCCATGACTAGAAGAAAATGAATAAATAAATAAGTCGTCTTTCAAGAAAAATTTTTATTTTTATATTTCAAAATTCTAGTTGTGACAACATATACATGCGTGTTTGGCTTTTTTTAATTAGCCAAAAAATTGTTTATCAAATTTTCATTTAACAAAAAGTATTTTAATAAAGGTTAGTTATTATACTGAAATTTGTATTTGAATGCATTTTTTTTAAAATTAATTTGATAAACTTGTATAATGAAAAGTGATTTTGGCATGCAATTATCAAAAGGAACAGTAATACTCATGATTTAATTTTTGTTATACAAATGCTTCATTTAGAAATGTTTGAAAAATATATGCAATAGAAATTATAAATAACATAAAATTTGATATATTAAATAATAAGGATAAAAAAATACAAAGTTTGATATATTGGACAAAAATTATATAAATAATCAATATACATAATACTAAAAATTAATTGAAAATGAATTAGAGATAGCATTGTAATATCAAAAATAGGTACATATTTTAGGTCCACTGTTAATACCTCAACATGCACACGTACATTCTAAAAGTTCATCCAAGTCAAGTTGAGAGTAAATCTACTTTCACTGGCTTTCTCAAAATGTTTTTGAAATTTGATTTCATTGAAAAAAAAAAAAAGGATACTTAAGTAACTTTTGGCCTTTAAAAATTACAAAAGTATTTTTTTGAGAGTCAAAAGTTAGTTAGCCAAACACGAGCCAAACGCGAACATGTGTAAAAACAAGGTAAAGGAACCTGCAAAATACTACAATCTATAAGAAAGTGCTCCCTTAATTTAAAAAATATAAGGTAATTTTTTAAGAATTAAATGTTAAAAATATAAAATATTTTAAATTTTTTAAAGTATAATTATTTTTTTTTAAAGTGTCATTATTAAATACTCCTTCAGTCTTATTTATAAGTCATTTCTACCAATCTCATCAATACTAGTAAAACAAAAATATAAAAAATAAAATTTAGTAAAATTACAAACATAACCCTCAAAAGTAAATAAAGTATATAATATTATTTTTCTATTTCTCTTTCTCTTTTACTTTTTAAAGATAGTTTAAATATTTCATTTAAAATAAAATATCACTATCATTTCAATGACTTATAAAATAAACCACTTCACCCTTCTAGAAGGTAATCAATAAAATGGATCAGAGGGAATAAATCACTTTATATTTATTTTAAAATAAAATATTTTATTAAATATAGATAAATATAATAAGATTAGTATGAAGACAATAACTAATTTACTAAAGAGTGAAATTTTATTAAAAATATCTTGTATTTTTTAATAAAAAAAAGTGTATTTTTACTTGCCATGATATCTTAGGTGGGCAAGATTGTATTTTAGCACAAGTTTCGGTGTTAATCTTCATCAAGATCTATAGTTGGAGGGCGAAACGTTACAAAATATCTTGAATTTTTCTCTTTCCATGTGTGGTAAGTCATTGGAGCATTGATTATTGATTGACAACACACTAGACATGTTTCTTAGTTAACCTTGCGCTGCTTAGAAGAATGCAACAATGCTTGCTCCCCACTCCCATGCTTTAAAAGTTATTAAACATAATATTTATTTTATATTAAATGATTTGACTGAAAAAAAGTTTAATAATACAATTTAATAGTACAAGTTAGATGCATGAAATCGAAAATATAAAAATATAAAAAGGTACATGTGATATAATTTTTTATTTAAAAAAGGTCAGATTTTAAAAATAAAAAGCATGTCTGTGTAATTAAATAAGCAAACAGGAGACCAAAATATTATACTCCTATTTTCAGGAGTCCAGATATAGTTTTTTCTTGCCTTGCAAAATATAACTTGTTGATTATTATATCCATTCAAAAAATGGTGATATTCTTTTTTTCCTTTGCCTTTTGTTTTTCCGATCCCCAACTTTAGCATATTTGGTACGAAAGAATTGGAGCTAAAAAAAAAAATCCCAAATTTTACATATTTGGTATAGTTGAACTAGCTTTCTTGTAAAAGTCACTTGTATCAAAATTAATAGAATTGACCTTCTCACCTAATTTCATGAAACCCAGTTCCACTTCCATCGACGTTCTAAGTCTAACCATTTTGCCCCATCACCGTCACTCCTTGTTATCAACATTGAGGAGTAGCAAAGAGGACTTTGAACCAACCGGCCATGACTTCAACAATGATGATGATGGAAGGCAGTGACTTTGGCGAGGATGATGGAAAACAATGATGACTCCTGCTCTAACTTTTCTCCTTTGAACGATGATGACCAACGGTGATGCTCTTTCAAATGGCAATGCACCCCCAAAATGATATCCATGATGGACAACAATGCTCCTTTGAACGACGATGCTCTAACTTTTGGGTCTTCAATTTCTGTAATTGGTTACTCTAGAGGGGGTGAATCTGATTTTGGTTTGATGTTTGTCTTCAATTTCCTCTCCTTTGCATATAAAGCTTGATGGTAAGTTTGTTCGATTGTTGGTTTGATTTCTTCCTTGTCTTTGATTTCTTTCTTTGCATTTGACTTCTAGGTCTTCAATTTCTATATTTGGTTTGATTTTTGTCTTCAATGTCCAGTTTGATTTCTTCCTCCCCTTTACATATGAAGTTCAACTTTTAGTTCAATCTCATCTTAATTTTCTATTTGTCGATTCTCGCTATCTTGTTCATGGCTGGTGGCTATTTGTGTTGAGGAGGAGGAAGAGACAACTATAGCTATTTAGGTGGCAGGTGCGGTTTTTCTAGTAAGGGCATTCAAGGCTTTTCACATTATAAACAGATATATTAATTAAAAATTATATCTCATTTTCATCAACATACCAAATTGATGATCATTTAATTTTTGTATGTTTTGAATGGATTTTGTTTGCAAGTAGAGAGTCACCTCCTTTTTTTTTGACTAATTTCAAATTCATTTTTTCATTAATTTATCACAATTTGCAAATAGATCATTCTCATTTAATCATTATAATTTATTTTAGAATAAAATGAGTGGTGCTTGTATTTTAGAAGACCTTAACAAGAAGAGGAGAGAAATTGAAGAAAGAAAAATAAGAAGAATTATGAAAAGTAAATATTTTGAAGGGAGGCCATGGCCCTACTATGGCAAGTATGTGTTGTAGAACAATAGAGAAATAGGGGACAGCGAGGCCATGGCCCACAACATACCCACGTCAAACAACAAAATGTATAGTATCAATTTTTCTTAGTTTTAAGTTGTGGGGGGCTAGGGTTCCAACATTTTTTACATTCTTACTTGTCTTTGAGGTCTAGGAGGTGATTTTGGGCAACAATCAAGGGCTAGATTGAAGATTAGAGAGCCTCATTTTAGAGCTTTGTGATGAGATTTTTTTGCAATCTCTTCTTGTTCTACTTTATGCCTTTGATTCTTTGTATTATTGCTAAATTTTTTTGCATAATTGGAGCCATGTGTGGCTAATTTTGCTTAACACTATGAATTTTTATACTTTATAGATAGATTTCTTCTTAGTTGTTAATGTTTAATGAATGCTTTAGTACCTAGTGAGTTTAATTTGTTCTCCTACTATTTAATGGCCAATTATAGTATATGTTTAGGTTTTGGAATTCTCCTTTGAAAGAAAGGAATTGCATTTAGATGATTAAATTTATCTAATTTATTAAGCAACATATAATTAAGATTTATTTTAATTTGCGCTTGAGATAAACACATACTCAAGAGTCATAGGTAATCTTTATAAGTATTGTACATAATTAAATCTTGACTTGTATGAGACATTATAAGATAGTTAGATTATGAGTTTTTGCAATCGACGGATGCTTGAATCTAAATTAAAGCCTTAATTCTCAAGTGAAAATTAAACTCAATAACTAGGACATATTGAAATGCAAAGTCTAAAAAGACATTAGAATTTTTAGGATATTTCTTGATTGCTTATTTCACTTTGGAATTATTTTTATTGCTTTTATTCAAATTTTAGTTTTAATTCATAAAAACTTTACTCTTTGATTGGTTTGCTTACCTAAGATGAAACTGAATTTCATTTGTGTCCAATCCTTTTAGTTTTTTGTGACACAATTTTGATTTACTATACTATATTACATTTGTACACTTGTTATGCATTTAAATTTTACTTTTAAACTCACTTTTACTTTCAATTTTTCTTTCAACTCCATTTGTATTTTTATTAAAAACTCTTTCATCATAAACGATAGGGTTTTTCTAGCAAAGACATTCAAGTCTTTTCACATTATAAATGGATATATTAATTAAAAATTATAGGAAAAATTAATCTTTTAATCTTTCAACTTTTAACTCACTTATAACTCAATCCCTCAACTATAACTCGCTGCAACTCAGTCCCTTAACTTTGGATTTACCTATAACTCGGTCCTTATTTTTTAATTTTTTTAAAATTTTTTATCAAATAAGAAGGATAAAAAAAAGCTCATATATTATTTTAAAATACCCTCTTTTTATTCATTAATGTGAGATATAAGCTAAGATGAAAAAAAATTAACAAAAGTTAAAGGACTAATTTGTAAGTGATTTAAAAGTTGAGAGACTGAGTCATAGACGAGTTATAGTTGAGGGACTGAGTTACAGCGAGTCATAGTTGAGGGACTGAATTATAAGTGACTTAAAAGTTGGAGAACTAAAAGATTAATTTTTTCAAAATTATATCTTATTTCCATCAACATATCAAACATATTTTTAAACTCACTCTTACTTTCAATTTTACTTCCAACTCCATTTATACTTTTATTAAAAACTCTTCTATCATATCAAACGAATTATAAGATGAATCCTGATGCTTATTACACCAATGACATTTTAATTTCTTAGAATTCAAATTTAGTATGGTCCAGAATTATAATTTTTTAATAATAATTTTATCTTATTAAAAGAAACTCTTATAAAAATGATTTATTTGCAATTATTTATACATTTCTAATTTACATCTTTTAAATACGGTAATTTATTGTAAAATTATTAATTCAATATTTTCTTAATATTTAACTTTTTTTTGTTTTTTTACCCCCTGTTTAGATAGAGGGGAGGGGATAAGGAACGTGTTAAAGTGTTTGATTTTTTTAATAAATAGAGGGGGTGTGGTTTTTCTTTCTTTTTTTTGGGGGGGGGGGGTAACAAAGAAGTGAGGTTGAAAATGTTTAATAAAGATAAGATGTAAGAGAAATATTTAAGAATTTTCATTCTCACTCAATCTTCTTTTTTAATACAAGGGCATAGGGTAATTGTATAAAAAAAATTAAGATCTAATCATGTCTAGAGTTATGATATTTATAATTCACCTTTTTGTTAGAAGGATTGAACTCTTTAAAGTATTTTATCTCCTACCTCTTCGTTCATATTCTTGTTCTTATGCATTACATGCATGGGAGAGTAAAAGTTAACTTAATACGCCATGTATGCTATACACACACACACACAAAATATCAGAATTTGACACTAAAAGCTAAAAGGTCAATAGATAATTTAATATTGATATTCCAAAATTTGACGTTGTTTCTCATACTCCTTCCTTACTCATAAAAAAATAAGATTGAAGAATAAATTTATCCTGAAATTTTTTTTTCAGAGACCTTCGAATAAAAACAAAGGAACAGATCCATCCAAATTTAGGCAACAACGGTGCTACTTTTTAGTTATAAATTAAAATTGAATATTGATGGTATCCAAATTTAAAAACCCTTTCAGTGTTCAAATCACTTTTCAAAATTTTGATACTCACTTTGAGAAAAACCAAAGGCAAAGAGAGCTCCCTCAATTGATTAAACACATTCTCGTTCGACCCATGCCTACTCGATTTACATTGGATTCATTTGCCGATTCAAAATGAAAAACAAGAATAAGAACGAGAAAGAACATTTCTAGATTCAAAATGTACAAGAACAAGAACATTTCCATATTTTTCTTTGGAAAATGCCATGAAAACTCAAACAACTTTTTCAGATTTGCAGATTAAAAACAAAATTTCTCATTAATGTCAACATAATCTAGATTTGTGTTTGAAATCGCATCTTCTCACGGGAAACTTTCTACTCATCGCAAGTCGAGATCAATGAGGTTGAAGACGATGGTTCGATGTTACCGTCGTCCTCATCAGTTTGTTGTCTCTTCCTTATCGTCGCACCAACCACAAGAATCGAGAGATCAAGCTTTTATTAGTTCACGATCTCTCCTCTATTGGAACACATTTAGGGCTAATCGAGAGACTCCGGCAAGAACCTAACGCTCTCCATTATGGTTCTTGTGATTTTTTTTGGGACAGGAAAATGGGAAAGGTTCCTACAGTTTCTCCTAGATGGTTCCTGCGAGAACCCAGTGCAGAGAAAGAGCTAGCATAGGTCAGTTAATAACTCAATCTTACTTGATGCTGGTGCTGGTGATGGAAGTAAGTGACGATGGAAGTGGAAGCAGGTGACGAAGACTGAAGAGGAAGAGGAAATGGCGTCTTGGGCTGATTAGAATTTAGAACGAAGAAAGTATGTTTAGTTTTTTTATTTTTATTAATAAACTATCCAACATAGCATGCCTTGTCTCCTTTTAATGGTCAAACTTGATCTTTAACAGTCAACCAACGATAAGTAGAACGGTAGGAAAAAAAAAAAGCACTCTTTGAAAGTTGCAAGATAAAATGTTCCATAAAAAAATTGAAGATATCCAACGTCCTTAAAAAAAAAAATTCAAGATAAATTTATTCTTCAATCCCAAAAAAATTGCAAAATTTGAAACTAATGTTCTCAAATTTAACATTGATATTCTAAATTCAACATTAACATCATGGACGAATCTAGAAGCCATTACGTAGAGGGAAAAACTGAAAATTTATCTAAAAGTTGGGGGCAAAAATTGATTTCAATATTTTTTTTACAAATAAAATTTTTCATAATTACAAATAATGCTTTAGTATGGGAGGCAATGGCACTGACATGCATCTTGCATTTGTGACTGATTAACACAATTTTAAAGTATTGTTACATTTTTTTTTGATAAACTGCTATCGACCAAATCTTAAAATATAAATATCAGATTACTTGAATACATTTTATCTTTAATTTTAGAATCTTTTAATGTTAGACTAAAATTAAATTAATCTTCTCACTCGTGTATATGTAGAAAAATTATACAATGGCCAGAGAAAGGGAGGGGGACAAATGAAGCGCAAACGGTAGCGGGAATAAGATTCGGTATTGTGGTTTGACTTACGCGCGCCAGCAAGAAGTACATTGACGCGCCAGATTCTGAAATCGGGAAATTAAAAAATTGAAAAAATCCTGTTCCATCGTTCCATTTCGCAGGTGAAAGTCGTGCTTGTTCCTGCCAAATTTGACAGTGAGTTGTTCCTTTTTCTTTCTCGAATCTTCGATAATTCATTGAAGATTTCTTTAAGAATTCTTAAATATATGAATTCATGAATTTGATTGTTTGCTTTGCTTGGCTGATGGGGGAATTATGGTGCATGCTTTTGGAGTAAAATTTTGTTTCTGCAATTTCTAAGGTTCGATGCGATTGGCTGAAGTTTGTCTACTGTGTTCTCTTTTACCGTTAGGTTTTTGCTTCTTTACTCTGGATAGGTTCTGGGCAATCATTGTTTAGTTCTCTGGCAGCTCTTAAAATACCGACTTCGGAGTTTTGGTGTCAAGATCGCTTGCATTGCGTTCTTAGAGATATGAACAAAGTTTTAGCTGATTCTGATTCCACTTTCCTGAATTTAGTAACAATTTTAGGTTGAAGAATCATCTTTCTTGATTAAGCTTTACACAAGGACAAAATTTCTATAATGAATGGTTGCTTTGAGCCATGAATGTTTCCCGTTAGCAACCATTTAGCCATGAAATTGTCCTCCTAGGAGGATGAGGAGTCCTCCTCCTCGTCATCATCATTATATGATTACTAGTGTGCCTAAACGATACTGCTTGGGTCGCAAAAGTTTGAGGTCCCGCATCCTTGTCTTTAGCAATTCTTAAAACATGTAGACAAATGTTTTTTGTAAATTTATAAATTTATTGATTTCACAATATGATTAGCATTTTCATTGTAGAGCAGGTTATTTTATTGATAGAAAGTTTTAATCTTTTTTATGAAGGAAATGCTTGCATAATGACTTTGTTTTTCATTATCAGAGAATTTATTCCAGCTGGCGGAGCGGAGTCAATAATAAAAAGTTCTGGGACTGTGTTGTGGGTCTATGATGGACAATAATAACGATTTTACATTTTGTCAGGTGAGATCACTACTTTTTCTAGACAGTAAAATTATACTATACCTTCCTTTTTCTTGTGTTATGAAATTTATTATTCAGATGTACACTCTGCAATGCAAATTTGTTTGACTTTATATCGTTGCTTTGTACATTTCTTTCTAACTTTGATGTCATGGTTGCATAGGTCAGTTCCCCTATCAATCAGGATGATCTCGAAACAAACAAGCTTGCTTCAGATATGGCTGATATTACCATAAAAGAAGAATCCTCCAATGCTACTAGTAGTAGTAATATTAGTAGTCATAATCATAGTCAGAATAGTGGTGCCCTATGGATGGATGGGTTGCCAAATAATCCCAACTCTAAGAAGCAGGCTTCAGTTGGCTCTTTATCTTACAGTGTAACTGACACAACACCATCAAATCAGGCACATGAATTGAACACAAAAGCAGTATATAGTGATGCTGAGAATTCACTTCAGAAGTTATTAGAAGAAAAGAAACCTATGAAAAAGCCAGCACCTCGGGCCAAAGTTCCTTTTGAAAAGGGCTATAGCCAAATGGACTGGTTAAAGCTTACTCGATCACATCCTGACATTGCAGGTTCTCTTATTGAAATTTTTTTAATGCAATTGTTCATTTGGATGTTTTGGAAACTTAAAATTATATGGTCCCATGCAAGAAAATAATTCTTATTGCTGTCTCTTATTGTTCTGTCACTTAAACTACTCAGATATCAATACAAGTTGGTAGTTGATGTCAATGGGTTGGAAGAAAGTTAACTTCTATAGACGTTATAACTTTGTATGTCCATGACTTGACTCCAATTTTTATCCTTTCAAAGTGTTTGTCTCCTGTATTGTCTTTGTTTGGATGAGATTGGAGGGTTAAGCCTGAAAGATTTTCAGTTATTCCTGAACATGATTTTTTTTTCATCATACCACTTTTTCATATACAAATTTGTGTCTGTTTAAGTTATGTGCCATTTCAACGCCTGTATGGCTGTAGTTCCTTACTGTTAAGAATTTCTTTTGTCTCTCCAAAGAAAATTAAGCTCTGTGCGCCCTTGTGCTTGAGCAGGTAGGGACTCCTGGATTCCTAATTACTCATTTAATGTAACTTTTCAAAGATGACATCGGCCAACTGTTCATACGTATAATAAAATAATTCATCTAAGAGCTTTTTAGCTACAAGTTCACCTCTTAATTCCATTCTGATGAATGAGTTCTCTGCCAGTTGTGACATCTTTTGAGAAGTAATTTTTTAATCTTAGCCATCTGATGCCAGGTTTGAAGGGAAAGTCCAACAGAAGACTTATTTCTATGGATGAAGTTAGACAACACCAAACAGAAGGGCAAATGTGGACTGTTTTAAAAGGACGTGTTTACAATATATCCCCATATATGAAGTTTCACCCTGGTGGTATGGTTATAGGCTCAGTTTGCAAGTTTTGGTTTAGTTTTTTCAATTTTTGTTAGTCAAATTCATTGAAACATTCCTATCTTCTTGAAAAGAGTAAAGTTTATTGCTTAAGAACAATACAAAATTTGTCTCTCAGGTGTTGATATGTTAATGAAGGGCGTGGGAAAAGATTGTACCTCTCTGTTCAGTATCCTTTTTGCAGTTTTCCAATGTGAAGTAATTTAAGGTTGAGCATATTTCAATGAATCTATTGTTATATCACTTAGGTGGATATATCATCATCGTTGTCATCATCATCATCATCTTATCTTGCTGAGTCAAATTTCAAGCTTCCTCTGCGTACATTATCTAACCTTGATAAATGCTTCTTGCTCGCAAGAGATATTGAAAAGCGTGTAGAAAATTGCACTTCTGAATTAGGTCAACATATTGCTTTGTATTTTTTGTCGTTGTTTATTTATTTATTTTCGGGGAGTTGGAGTTTGGGTTGCACAATTGTGTTAGATGACTCAAAATCATCTGAAGTTGGAACAAGTACAATTTCTGAGAGACAGACCTAAGTGCTTCAGAAGTCTCACTTCATCAATTATGTTGATTATTCTTACCTTTTTGTTCATGCATCCCATGCATGAGATCCTTTGAAGTCATAGGAAGACAGGGCTTGCTCTTTTTTTTTTTTTTTTTTAAGGTTTACTTTCTCTTTATACTTCTATATCGTGCACAGTTTGTAACAGCCCTCCTCGGGATCTCACCGTCACCCGAGGCGCTGGACACTCTCCCCCCAAGCCCCACAACAGGGCGACCCCACCCCTTACGGTGAGCATCAGGAGACAAAGGCTTTCCCGGAGTAGTGTGCAGGATTATTCCCCTTGCGAGGAGCCTCCCCAGGTTCGATCCTCCAACCTCTCCTACATAACAAAGTTGAGGCTGAACCTGGTATCATTGAATCAACTTGACTCAGTGGTACCAGGTTCAGCTTCAACTTTGTTATGTAGGAGAGGTTGGAGGATCGAACCTGGGGAGGCTCCTCGCAAGGGGAATAATCCGGCACACTACTGCGGGGAAGCCTTTGTCTCCTGATGCTCACCGTAAGGGGTGGGGTCGCCCTGTTGTGAGGCCTGGGGGGAGAGTGTCCAGCGCCGCAAAAGACCTCGGGTAGGCGCGGTGAGCGGAGGGCTGTTACACAGTTTTTGCTATTTAATTGACTACTCGCCTCTGTATCCTTAATCATTTAATCCAGATAAATACCATGCTTGGGTTAATGCAGAATTCTTATTGGAGAAATGCCTTGTAGGCACTTTAGACGATACTCAGTGAAGAAAGAACAGTTGTGTTCTAATAATGAATTGGTAAGGGTTCATATACAATGAGGAATAAAATTTTGTCACATGCTTATTTTTATAGAATCCCTATGGGAATCTGATGTACAATTACACGAGTATTAAGTTGTAAACTGGGATATTTATCTGCATTTAATATGTGATCGTTGAATCTGTTCAATTTAATGAACTTGTACATTCTGGTAAGGAAGTCATATCATTATTCCGTAAATTATAAGTTGCTGCTCCACCTCTCTAAGGGTCTGTAATGGCGTTCGGTATTAATTTGAGCATGACATATTTGATTATATGCTAGACCAAAAATGGACTTGATAAATTTAGCTCAAAGCCAAATCGGAATATAAAAAACTGCCAAAGTGCCTTTTGTATCCCAGAAGTGTAGGATATGTTTCAAATTTCAATTTTGCCCCAAATGTTTATTTTGTGTCAATTTCATCATATATGTTTGCAGAAATTCTCAAATGTCTTCCTAAATGCTAGTATCATCTTATTGCTCAATAGAGTTGGCTAACCTATCAAATGCAAGGCCTCGCAAATGCACCCACTCTGGTTGGTCCATGTAGGAGTGCTATGAAAAGGATTGTTGTGGTTAGGAAGCAAGTCTCAACTAGCTAGGTTAGGTTAGGAAGAGAAAAATTAAACTGATGACATTCAAGGACTAGGGTGATCACATTAGGTTGTGCAATATTTATGTAGGCAGTGTGGTCTCCATATTTGCATCTTCTAATAATTGTTATACATCTGATTCTGTTCGGTGATTGAATATTGATAGCTTTTAGGGAGATATTAAGAGTTTTTGCAAATATGCAAGACAGATTTGAAATTGACTTCAAACTTTTTAGGTGATAAAGTAGTTTTTCCCTTGGAATTTTTATAGCTTGTAGCTCTCTCAGATAGAGCTGGGCAGTTGCTGCAGGCAAGTCATAACCTAAATTTCAAAAGGCATGATCTCGCCTGCACTGATTTTTTAGTTTAAGGGCATTTTTGGGATTGAGGATAATGGAGAAAAAATGAAGGGAAAGGAAGGTTTTATTTAGAGATTCTTCTTTATTTAAAGCATACCATTTCCCCCTCCACCCCCCCCAACCAAAAAAAAAAAAAATCTTCAATCCGAACTTTTTTTTATATATATATAAACGGCTGTGGAAAAACCATGTAATTAGAAAAAATAATAAAGTAGGGAACATTGTACGCTATGCATATCTAGCTGCATCTAGGCTTCATTGACAACGAAGCGTTTAATATTACCTGCCCTTGAAGAATTGCCATTTGTAAAAGCTTCTTTTTAGTTAGGATAACTTCGCATTTACATGAGCCCCATCTGAAATCTTGGCAAACTATGAGGTCCCCTGCTTTTTCTTAAAAAAAAAAAATTGATAAAAAGCTCAAAATCAAAGGAAGCAAAGTAGACCTACCTAAAAGGCGAAAACCAACTTGAGATTGTGTGATCGTGTCATAACCCATAAGTAGGTGGTTAAAATACGATTGAAGTTAAAAGAAGAAATTTTCAATCATGATCATATCATCATATCAATGTAGTTTAAGGTATTTGGTTACTGATACTTTCTGAAATGAAAACCTAATCAGATCAAGATTGCTCAGGAAGGTGTTCCGCGTGCAACACATTGTCGCGAATCAAGATGCTTAAACTTGTTCATGTTGTCTTGTTTATTTCCAGCCTGATAACATGCTAGAGATGCATCCACCTGTGGTTGTCTGATCCAAAAGATCTGGACTTGTCCCTACTTGAGTTCACAGATTACTATGCATAGATCCAATCTTATCACTTCATTACAAAAGACCCCCTTTCCTTGGATCTACTCTTATTAGTTCACATGGGCAATCCCACTAGTTTTACGATGTTCTGGGCCTTTTTCTCCATTCTTGTTAGATTTTCTGCCAGTCCTTTAGCAATTGTGATGTTTAATTGTGTCTTGTTTTTTTTTATTTTTATACTCTCTCCAGTTCTATTAATAATTTACTTTTAACATGTTTTATTAAAATCAAGAAAAATATTAAAACTTATGAATTCTATCTAAAAATTTAATAAATTTTTAACTTTTCCCCTACAAATATAACTTTAACAATCTACTTTCTCTCACTAATGTTTAATGGGAGGTAAAAGGATAAACTTGTGATAAAAATTAATAATATATCTCATAAATTGAAGAAAAAAATTATTCTTTTGTTATTATAAATAAGAGCGGACGGAGTATTGTCAATTAAACTATATTATATGCTCATGTTTTGCATAGAGTTTGGACAAAGTCAAATTGCCCATCACTTATGAATGATGTGGCTTTCTATAGGTTTTATATTATTTATTAAAAAAAAAAACCACACGCACTCACACTAATTTATCCCATTCTCTATCATCAATCTTATATCCCATACAAGTTAAGCAAGCAACTTGACAGAAGGGACAAATTTGGAAGATCTCAATGACTCGTCAAGCACATGACATGATATGTTACAGGGTTGCATTTACCGAGAGGTCTTGCTTTGCTTAGCTCTGTTAATGAAGGCATGGTCTTGCTTGAGCTTGATGTTGGGAGAAGCATGATTGGGTTGAAGATAAGTGGGACCACCACTCAACATCCTGCTGGCTCAGCGTTTGCTTCAGCACATGCATATCCTATTTCAGCTCCCAAATTGATATTTGAAATGGTCATGGATATAAAACTCGATTGTACTCTCTATATCATAAAATCTATAACGAGTCGTATTTTTTTACCAGTCTTGAATAATATGGTTCATTTCTCAACACACGTGATCGACACAAGTTCCATCAAAAGTAGTCCGAAGAGATTATCGATTTATAAGCAACTTCCTCCGACCTTGTTTTTTGAGGCATCTTGGCATAAGTACGTTGCTCTCATGACTATTGATTTAAAATTATTTTTTTGTTAATGTTGGGGTGACATTTTACTGTTAAAAAAAATTAAAGGAGAATATTGCACCAAAAGTAAGTTTAGAGTCTTAGACATTCCTAGATCTATAGTTTAATGGTAAAATTACCCTCTAAATCACTTAAATTTAACAATAAATTCAATTGAAAAAACTCCAATCATGTTCCTTTTTGTGTATAGAAGCTGAAGGTCACACGCATATGACATATCCGGATATATTTTAGGAGCTTCTTACAAGAGTTTTATGTCGTCTATAATGTGACAGGTCATTTACTTCTTAGTTTTGATATAAGTAGAGGAACAACTTAAAAATAACAACAATAATATTGCAGTCACGTGTTGTATGAGTCATGTTATGCGTATCTCAGCAATCTAATTCTTCAGTTTAATCCAATTTTATGTCAGGACAAAAGATTCACCTAAAAAAATGTTGCAGTTTGGTCGAAGAAATTGACCATCTTGAATTTCAAACCATTGCCTCTTGCCTAACCACCTACACATCACTTGCTCACCTGCGTCTCTTGGCCTACCCGTTCAATTAGAATTGAAAAACTAGTTATATAATTAATTACTTGGATCAGTCCTTTAGTAATACTTGCCAACCCATTCGATAAGAATATATAAATTTTGTTATACAATTAATTACTTGGGATCAGTCTTTGAGGAACACTGGGTTGATCCCCTCGTCATGTAAAGAACAAGAAAGTGAAAATCAAACACTTAATAAGTAGTGACTTGTGAGTCTTCTGATAAATAATTTATAACCAGAAGACAATATGTTTGATCATCTTACAATTATAAAAAAACATGAGATTAAGGAACTGTTTTGAAAATTTCCAATCACAAGGTATTACTATAATTGATGAACTCAACTTCAAGCAACAGGGAACACCACAACTTGATCAATGACAGGACCACAGAGAGATCCAAAGTCATCAATTCTGGTATGGTAGAAGGAGCTGTAGAATGTGATTCTGGTTCTGGGCTCAATTGCTTTGAATCTGAAGCTGGCAGTCTTGAAGCCTCCCTTCCCTACAGATTTGTAAGGAACTTTAAGAGTCTCTTTGGCTGCAAAAGCTTCAACCATCATTGATCCATGGCAGCCATTTTTGGCATCTCCGACAGCGAAAGTGATGTTGTAGACTTTGTTTGGAACTGTTCTGAGGATCTGAGCAATGGCACTTTCCCTGCCTGCAACAAGCTCCACAGCCCCATGTCCATAGGGGACATTGAAATGCCATGAGTCAATGAATTTCACAGCTTTGAGTGATTCAATGATCCAACCAGGAAGCGGAGACAAGAAATCTTGCTGCTTAGGAGGGAGAAGCACACCATTGGTAGAGTTGAATATAGGGAATGGACCTTCCTCAAAGCCTGAGTTTTTCACCAAATTGCCTGTAAAACACCAAACAAGAAAGTTTTAAACACACTTGAATGGACCAAAATAGAAATCCCAGAGGAATTTGAAGTCCTAAACACACTTCTAGTTCAATCTATGTGGCTGACTAAGGTAGATATATTATTATAGGTTAACTTTAGTCTACAAAAGATAGGTAGATTAGACTAATCATAACAAAACACATAAGCATGTCAAATGTGAATCCTACTCAAAAGCGTTATTGACAGGTTCACCTGTCTCTTCAAAATTAGATTGACCTACTCATATTTTATAAACTAGATTCTCCTAAGGATTTTTCTTAGTAACTACAACTTTTATATTGATGATTTAGGCAGCAAGGACAAACTTGGAAGTATTTACAAGTCTGTGAAAATGTGAATAACATCTGAGAGATGTGAATATGGAAATAATTAATCTACAAAGCATGACCTGAAAGTTTAACGTGCTAAAAAGATACATGCAAACATGTATTTATCAAAATAAGAAACCAAAAATGACTCAAATTATTGCTGAAATCCAAACATGTTATGATACTATAAAAGGAATTCACAGTTCACAGATCAGAAGTATATAGATAGGTTTCATTACCTCTGGTAGGCATTGGTGGGTAGAATTCTCTGATAGCAATTGCATCCAAGAGTGGTCCACAGGCAGGGTCCTCTTGAACTCCAGGGTTGTGGAATGTGACCTTGGCAATGTTTGAAGAGGCCTTGAATCCCCAAGCAATAACATCACCATTGAGACTGTACAGTGTCTGCAAAGGCACATCCCCACTCTGTGGAGGCACTGAGATTCTCAAGACCTCATCTTGAGCACAAGTCCTTGAGGCTCCCAGAATTAGGGCATACAATTGACCTGGCTTGACCTTAATGGTCTGAGAAATTGAAGCATCATTGCCTAGCCTCACAGCATGAACTCCGTGGGTCACAGGGAAGAACATGCCTCCAGGTTGTGGTCCCCCAGTCACATATTCTACCAGACCAGTGATCTCCCATTTGGGTAAGGCAAATTTTCCAACAAGTTTTGTTTTCTGGAGGTTTTTGGGGTCTGGCTTCTCTTCAAAGTTTCCATTTTCAAGATAAGCTGCCAGAAGAAGAAAAAGTTTCAGATGCAGAGTAACCCAAAACTTCCAAACTCAACCTCAAAGAGTAGAGTAACAGCAAAAATCACATGGACACTAGCCACACCCAGGAAATGAGAATGAGAGTAGATATAGCAGAAAAGTGGAATTTATGTGAAGCCAAGAGTGCATATATTAAAATCAAGCACAATCTATCTTCTTTCTCAGCATAATGGACAGTGGAATGATTCTAAGGTTAGCCATAAAGGGTGTAGCAGCACTTAGTAAGACCATAGACACATTTCAACAAGCATATCAGATTCCAGTAGACTCCAAAACTTCATCTTGAGTTAAGGCACTACACTGTAAAAACTCTTAGTAAGAATGAGAGAGGATAAAGCAGGAAAAAGGAATAGATTTGAGAGTTTAGACATATCAACATCAGAATGAAAGCAAATGTAGCTTAAGCTGATCCGGTAAATAAAAAATGCATAAAGTGTTTCACATTTTCCCCCCAAAGCATTACCTTCTGCAACTCTGGGTCTGGGATGAACAGCAGCGAAAGCTGAAGCAGCAAACAGCAAAGTCAAGCAGAGCACGAATGTAACTGTGACTCCCATTTGCACTGCCAAAATGCTCAAATCTGAAGCTGAAGTTACAGGGAAGAATAGGGTTTTGAGGTTGGAGAAGCTGGTAGTGAAGCTTTACAGCGTTTTATAGTGGCAAGGAAAAGTGGTCTTTTGAACAAGACTAAGCAAAAATCACGTTAAACAGCCCACGTGGACAGAACTTTCTCTCAGTTTTCTAACCGGGTTTTTCTCCACAATTCATGGTATCTTAGAAATTATAATTGTGCTTTACAGTTTACATTTTAATAGGACTTTTTGATTGTGTCTTTTTTATTTTTTATTATAAAGTATATTTTTTATATCTCCTTCAGGGTGGTTTGAATTATAAATTCGTTTTTAAAGTCGGTGGATTGTCTGTTACTATGATTAGGCGTGGGACGATTAATGTTATCCACCAAATTACGTGTGACAGTTGCCTTTTTCTTGGAGGCCACTGGGGATCCATGGCTAATGAGTGGAGCCAAACATAACGTCTCTATTTCTGTTTTCCACTGGGAACTGATCGCATTAATTAAATGCCCTCGCTTAATAACCACATTCAATCTTGATACAACTAAGGGCCATTTAGTTTGCTTGCATTTCATATTCAAAAAATAAAATTTTATTTTTAAAAGGTTGAAAGTTATTTAAATAAAATATTTCATAAAAAACACATCTAAAAATAAATTTAAAAAATATAACTATTTAAAAATTTTAAAAAATAAATTTAAAAAGTAGGATATTATTTGATCATATTATCCTTAATTTAATCTCTTATTTTTTATTTAAAAATAATTATTTCATTAAAAATATAATTAAAATTTCAATAATAATAATTAGGTATTAATTTTTTAGTATTATAAATTGCATAATTATTCGTATTAATTTTTAACATTAATGTATAATAAAAATTACAAATTTTTGTCACACTTTCTAAAATTACAAATTAAAAAGTACAAATAACTAGAGATCAAGTTTTTAGTATTATAGATCAAATTTTGTATTATTTAAAATATTTATCACATTTTTAAATATTTTAAATATATTACATTTGTATAATAAAAATTATAAAGCATCATAAATCAATGTCATTTTTTATAATTTTACGTTCAAAAATACATTTCACTATTATAACCCAAACAATATTCAGTAAATCAAAATGACTTTTGAAAAAAGTATTCAGATATAAATTTTGTTATAATAAGTGACTTTCACTAATCTGATTTTTGTTAAATAAACTTTTGATAAACTAAAAACTAAACACACACAAATAAGAAAGTTATATTTGTTTAGTTAGAGGTATCAAATTTGAATCTAAAAAAAAATTGTTAACATTAGTTATAGAATTTCTATCCAAATCCCATTCAGACTTAATTCAAATTGGCCTAAATTCTTATTAAATTCTTTCAACTCAATGTAGATAGGCTTGAAATACCAGATGATTCATTTAAAAAATTATATTCCTACATACCAAAAAAGTAATAAAATGTTGAGTTTGTGTTAATAATTTATGTCAATTCATCAACTGAATTATATTGAAGATCTCCTCTTTCAAAAAATTATAAATCATGGACAATATAATTTATTCTAGACTTTATGCAAATGCAATAAGACTGAGATATGATTATGTGGGAAAAAAAACACCTGAATCATATGGATGAGTATACAATGTACTTAGCTTAAATTTAGATATTAATCAGGACAAAATATTAGGTATTAAAAATTTTATTAAAAATTTTGAAGTTTAAAGCGTGTTTTTTATTAAGATGATAAAGAAGATAAGGCAGGGGGAGAATGTAGTATTCTATCTATTATTATTGATTGTAAGATACGACATTATAATTTTATTTTGTTCATGTAATAAAAAAAAATAAAATGATATTAGTTAAGTCAAAATAAAATATTGCATAAAATTAAAAATATCTCAGTTACTTTATATTTTTAAGAGAAATATACATCATATACAAATTAATATCATCCATCGAATGGGATCTTTAAAACAAAAAATATCATATCCATTTTTTATTAAACGAATTTTAGGTAGGTTGAATTATGGGAACTCATCATATTAGGACATGCTTTTAAGTTATAATTCAAAAATCATTGTTAAATGGAAATTAAGATAGGCAACATGGAGCCCTACATGGATATTTCTTAAAAGTAATCAAAATTTGACAATTAATTAAATTTAAAATATAAATACATATATCTTAGTTTTTATTTAAAAATATAGCAGCAAATAATTTAAAAATTATAGTTAAGTCTTTCTCATAATTCAATATTAACAAGCTTTTTGACCATTCAGCCTCCAATCCAGCAATGAAGTCCTGCACCTAACATGCATACATGGGAAGTTTGGTTTACCAGTAACTAGACATGCACCTGATGTCTGGCCCCCCCCCCCCCCCAAAAAAAAAAAAAGATATGCACCTTATGTCTAGATCAAATTTTTTATTTAAAAAAATGAAACGAAGTTTTTATATAAAATTTTTTCAACTAAAAAGTGCAAATGAAATTTTTTTTGTTTTGAGAAAGTTAAAAATCAGTAGTTTTGAAAAAGATTAAATTTATTATTAGTATTTTTTAACGTTATCACTAATTTTTTTAAAAAAACTAAGCTTTCAAATTATTATAATTTTCATTCATTTTAAATATTTTTAAAAAAATTGAGCATAAGGATTTTTTAGTCATGAAATCATTTATTCTACATATCAGTGTTAGTGAAAACTAGAAGAAAAAACGACGGGCAAAAAGCACTTGAATTGAATAGAAACGCGGTTGGGAAGAATGGAAGAAGGAAACAAGTGCATGTGCATGTGGGGCACGAAATCAGATACTGATAAAGATGCTCTTAATTTCAAAAGTGTTGAAATTATTTGTGGTTCAATATAAAATGGGGCTCACTAGCCACTCTACTTTCTCCAAAGGCTTCCCTCTCTCTCTAAACAAAAAAATATTTTCATTTTCATTTTTTACAATATATATTAGGGAGGATTGAGATCAATTAATTTAAAATAAATTTTAAAGTGCCAAACTCCAATAATTTATAAATTTAATTTTTAATTTTACATTTTTATTATTATAAATGTTATAATTTATTTTTAAAATTTTAATATGATTGAAAAATAAATAAATTTATTTTTTTGTTAAAATTTAAAACATAAATTATAAATTTGTCATAATAAATTTATAAAATTGAGGACTAAACTTATAAATTTTTAAAATTTAACACTTTAAAATTTACTTTAAATTAATTAATTAATTCTATTAAGAGTATTTATTATTCTCCCTATAGGTTATTACTTTCTCCAAGGTGAGTTTTATTTACTATTATTTGCTTTGGCGTGTGGAATGATGGTCCAAATGAAGCTTACCTTAATTAACAAGGTGGCTCCCCACCCCACGTACAAATTAATTGCCCTCTTTGATGCGCAAACATTGTAGTTAGACTGCAAGTCCAACTTTTTACCCCTTCTTTGTTTATAGTTAAATTAGACTGTAAGTCCTTGTTCCATAGAATTGTGAAGCAAATAAAATGACACGTTTTATTCTTATCAAAACAAAAAAAAAAACAAAAAATGGAAATGACACGGTTTATAATTTATACATAATACATTAATAATACCTCTTAAATTCTTGTTTGCTTTGTCATATCTTGGCACTGCTACTTCTAGGTGGAGATGGTATTACTGTTTACTCCACACAAAAAAAAATTATTCCAGTTTTTTTTTTTTTTGGTAAATGGTAAAAAAGTTGGAAGTGTTGCAATCATGATAAGCAATCTCAGACCGACCCAGAAGTTGACCCATGAATCGGTCGCATGGTTGGTCTGGTTAATGAACAAATCAGTCACTCTACGACTTGGTTTCAGACTAGTTAACTCGGCAGGTTAAATGGGTTTACTAGGGTTAGATTTTATTATTTTATCATTTTCCTCTTCTTAACATAGAACCATAAATCAAATTTAAATTCCTTAATTAATATTTTTAATTTTGTTGTATTTCTTATAAACTTATAATTAGTATTTTTACGAGATATATATAAATAATATTTTATGAATTAATTTTTCACTTGCTTGAGAATTAATGATCTTTTTATTTAAATATTACTGTTTTTCATATTTTAGTATGAATATTTTTATATATTTTAATTATCATCCATCTGATTTTAGATTGACCTCTGGATTTTAATAACTAATCAAATATTCATTACGATGACCACATGCGCTTGTATATGTGAAAACAAAATGAAAAAGAAATCATCAGTTCATTGTTGTAATAAAATGCAAACCGTAATAATTTACCTGTTGGCGGGACTGTGGAGTGTGGACCGAGGGCCATAAGTGCATCTTTTTCCTGAAACGAGACAGTGCATGTGCTCTCTCTCCCAGCAAATAAAATATTAAATAAATAAATAATAAAATAATGTTGCTATTAATTATTCTTTGAAATTTAAAAAAATAATGACAAAAAATTACCTCATATGTTCAAATAATAATGAGATCTTAAAAAATAAAATAATTTTTTTTAAGTTTCTCAGAGTTTTTATAACATTAATATTTTTTATGAAATGACTATAATACTTTTAATTTAAAATTAAAAAAAGATAAGTAATTAAAATGTTTGTAGATTGAAACTTGTCATTTATTATCACTTTTAGTTATACCATAATAAAAATAGTCATTTCTTAAATTAAAATAGTTATTGATATTTATAACATTTTGACTATAGTTATTGAAAAATTTGTAGAAGGGAAGTTATAATTATTTATACTGTTTTAGTCATTACTAATAAAAAAGTAATAATCACTTAAACTAACATAGTTATTAATATTTACAATACATAAAATTTAGTTATTAAAAAAATTTTCAGTGTGAAACTTGTCATTTACTATCAAATTTTAGTCATTGCTTTTAAAAAAAAAAGCATAGTCATTGCTTTCATCAAACTTGTCACTAATTTCTTAAATTGAGGTCATTATAATCATTTTAAAAAAGACATTAATATTAAAAAGGTCCTAAAAGACTTAAGAAGAATTATTACATTTTACACGATCTCATTATCATTTGCATATTTTAATGTATTTTCGTGTCATTTTTCCTTGAAAAATGTACTCTTTTTAATCTTATTTATACAGCAGAGAGACAAAAATTTTTTAAATCCTATATATAAGTCACATTATTAAATTTTTATCATAATTTTTTTTACCCTCCATTAAATATTGAAAAGAGAAAATATATTATTGAAGTGTGCATATTTAATGAAAGTAAAGTTGATAACTTATTAAATTTTAAGACAGAATTTATGAGTTTTAATTTTTTTTTAATATTAATGAAATATATTAAAAATGATTTATATATAAGATTAGAGTATTATAATATAAAGAAAAATTTTATTTTTTAAAAAATAAAGCGAAAGAAATAATAAAATATAAACCCATGAGTCTGACACCGAAATCGCCAAAACACGGCTAAATTTTGTAAGCTCTGGCCTCACTCCTTCACGCTTCAGGCTTGTGTAGACGACAGATAGACTCGCGTACAGTCTTATCCTTTCCATTTCATTACTACTATTTATTACCATCATATCCACATGAGTCCATGTGAATGGGAATGGATCATGCATTCCATTATTATACTCTGTCACTTGATTTAGCTTTTGAAATATTATTATTTTATTATTTTATTTTTTAAAGGTTTATTCAGTCTTTTTTTTTATATAACACTTTCAACAGAAATAATTAATCTTTTTTATAAGGCACTTGAAAAAATATTTATTATGATTTTTTTCATATTGTCGCCTTTTAATGTTTGTTGATTTTTTTTTTTCCCTCATTTGACTCTCTTCTTATTGAATCAGGGGTCCATATACGGGTAGAGTTGAAAACTTCTTACTATCTTTTACAAAGTTATTGAGTTAACAACTTCTTCTTAATTTCAATCAAAATACTAAAAATGTCTTGCACAAAAAATAAACATAAATTGAAATTATATGTATGTATGTATATATATATATATATATATATTAAAACTCACATACGAGTAACAACAATGACAGGCACTTTAAGTTTTTTGTTTCCCCTCCCGATTACGATATAACTGAAGCAAGTTCAATTTACTCCTTCTTACATCCCTATTCTAAATCCTGAAGTCAATGCAAAATTTTTATACCACTCTCTTATACTGTATTCTTGAATATATTACCAAAAGATTTCTTATCCAACGTATCCAGCGTTTTAAAAATAACTAAAGCCATACACTATTCATTACCAACAAAATAGCCATACACTGTTTTGAAAACAAAAATGATAGTTTTGGAAAGACGTGATCATTTTTGAAAAATTAAAGTTGTTAGCTTATTTTCTACTTCTTATTCTAATTCACACGATCGGTTAAAAATGTTCTATTATCTCAGAAGTAAAAGAGGTGTATGGATTATCTTTTAGGTCCAGGAATATTTTTTGTTTGTAAGTGTAAGGAGTAAGGTTATTAAATTCATGAGTTTAAATAAACTTATAATATAGGAATATAATGCAAAATATAGACTTAGAACGTAAACTCGTAAAAGTTCACATTTATTAATAAGTAGCCTTTAAAAATATATAATTGAACAATTAAAATATAAAATATGATCATAATTTAATTTAAATATATTTTAAATATAGATAATTGAAATTAAATTCATCTACATTAAGAGATTATTACATTTAATATAAAAATTTTAAAATAGGGCAACTTATTTTTAATATTTTTTGTTTTCTTTTTTATTAATATTAGTTTTTGTTTTTTGAGTTTTATTTTTTATTGAATTGGATCCTATCACTTTTATGAACCAAGATCTATGCAATATATACTTATTTTATTCAATGAGTTTATGAGGGGGTTGGCACTTAAGCTGGATATGTAAAAATGATAAACCTAAAGATAATTGAATTTTATCTAATATGAATTTATGAATAAATTAACACGATTATAAATTAAAAATGTAAAAAAGATAAAATTAAAGAGTTAATTTAAGAGTTTGATAATGATAATAGAGAGTAGATTTCGCTGAACAGAGAATATTTCCTCTGGATCTGGAAAAGTTTAAGACCTTCATGTTCTTGGTGGACATTGACCTCTTATCATTAAATCTCCTGCCTGCATTAATTTAGAGAGACAAATTGAGTCTGATAAGTCTAATAAAATTCAATCGAGTGGATTGTGCATGTTTTATTAGCCCCCCTCTAAATGCATGGTAGTGCTATAGTTCTCATTATAAAGGATATCTAATTATTTTACTAGAACTAATGAGAGACAATTAAATTATTAACTCTATTTTAAAATAAAATAAATTTTTGATTTTATCTGTCCTTAAATGAAAATTTCTTAAATTTGCATAACATTTTGTTCATAAGTAATAACTTTAAATAGACATAATATTAGAAAAAACTGAGTTAATATCTTATCAAGTGACTTATAATAAGAATTACACATTTTTTAGAATGTATCTTATAATGAAAATAGGAGGAAATATGAAATTTGCTTTCCTTTCTATTAGAGTTTTGAGTATTTTTGTCATCCAACTATTCATGAAAGAGTGTATAATATCTTAAACTTTTTTGTGGTGCAATGTTCTCCTTCAATAATTAAACATGATACAATATTATCCCTATTAGTAACAACAATATTTAACTTTGATTAAAGATATTGAATGGGGTTTAAAAAAAAAAAAATCATGGGTGGGCTTACAAGGAAAGATCACTGTCGGCCTCAGAGATCTTACATAAATGGAGATGGGCCTAAAAGCCTATTTGAGAATTGAGAGCCTAAAACTCTCAAAACGTGAAACTCGCCAACCGGTTTGAAGAGGCTTCAATTAAAAAACCAGCTACACCGGACGCCACATGCTCCCTCATGTCACGCCTAATAAAGCTACTCACCCCTGCGGGCGCAACGCCAGACCCAAAACCACATCTTAATTATATAAAATTTTAATTATAAAAATTGTGAAATTAATTCTGAAATTAGATAATCCTTTAATAAATGTATAAAAACCCTTAACTACATTTTTCAAAGGATAAAACTAAAATATTTTAACGATGAGAGTTTAACATATTTAATATATCAAGCAAGGGCTTCATTTAGAATCCGGCAAAGGAATTGTAGATTCATTTTTTTTTAATTTTATTTTTTTTAAAATCCTCGGCCTCGCCGCGTGCAGTCCTGACCCTCAAAGGCCTTCGCTTCTCGGCCGAGTTCTCGTTTCTCTCCTCCCTTCAGTCGGCGTTCTCGTCTGCGATCTGCTTCCCCTCCGGCGGATTCGACCTTCTCGGCGTTCCGTGGGTCTCGGTGTTCCCGGCAGTAGGTCTGTCGTCGCGTGTCTGTGGGTCTTGGCTTTCTCGTCGTCGTGGGTCCGGCAGCTTCTCTCTCCCTCCTCACTCGATTCTGGTTCGCTCCCTCCCACTCTTCTCTCTTCCCTCTCTTCACTTTAGTAATTATAGTACTGTTTGTGGTTCTGTGGGTCTCGACCTTGAATTTGTGGTTCACTCTTGAATGATTTCACAGGGACTAATGCTATGTTGATGGAAGCCGTCGTTATAGGACTGTTTTGAATCTGCATTGTTTGCTCCTTACTAGGGAAAAAAGTCATTAAAATACCTCTGATATCATTGTTGAGTCGTGTTTTGTATCTGCAAGCTATGGAATCAAATGTTTTTATCCAGTTTATATTAAGACATAAATTAGAGTGTTTTGTTTTGGATTCGAATACTAATGTTCTAGTGTTCTCTTTTCAAATTTCCTTGATCTTCTACCCCTGATTTATGTGTTTTAATCTGTTAGAATTTTTGTCGTGCGTTGTATGAGATATTAAGTCTTGGACATGGATGAATGTATTGAATTTTCTGATGACTGGTTAGGCCTCTGGTTCATTAAACCTTAAATCCTAACCTCGGCCGGTTCAATGACCAATCTGGTTTTCATAACTTGGCAAACAGAATTCAAAAATGGTGGTAAGGATTCGATTATCAAGGTTTGGGTGCAAGAACAAGCCATTTTATCGGGTCATGGCTGCCGATAGCAGATCCCCAAGAGATGGCAAGCAACTTGAAGTTTTAGGTTACTACAACCCCTTACCAGGTTCTCGCTTCTTCTCTCTTATTCGCCCCCTTTTTTTGGTTTTGGAATGTCCATCTGTGTTTTCGTAAGGGGAGGTATGGTTTTTAGCTTTAGGGATCAGATTGCGGTAACTGCAGCATTCTTGTTTCTGTCTGAATTCCGAGAAAGTGTGAGCAAGGTACAGAAAGTCATCACTACTGAGGGGAATATCAGGCTCAAGGCAATCAGATTCCTAAGTGCGAAACCTAACTGCTTATAGTAAATGGATTTAGAGCGTTGTCGAAATTAGTTTGTTGGAAATAAAGCTATACTAGTTACCAGATTTTGGCTTGCATCTTTCTAGTGGTCAAAAGTGAATAAGTATCTGCACAGAGCTGTTTTTGATGTCCACTAGGATAGATTATGATGTATTGGTAGGTGCACACAATGACACTGGATCAATAAGATGTTTTTCCTCCTCTTTTGTCCGATTGTTAATAGTGTTAACCTTAGCTTTCAGCCTTTCAAGGAGTCATTGGAATTAGAATCTGAGTTATGAATGCCACTAGATTTTTTTATTTTTTATTTTTTTAAATGAAACTGTGATTGAAAGAGTTATCTTGCATTCTTGCTCAAACCCAGGCGTATCTTTGGAGGTGGTGACATTTTTTGTACCTTTCCCCTCTTTTGAATTTAATACACTCTAGACCCAGAGAAAATGGCTCCAAATGCCTAGTTATATCTGTTACTCTGCTGTCTTCATTATTTAGTGATGAGCAAGTTCATAGATGGTTCCAATGATACCATTTAATTCTTTTCAATTTGTGTTAATTTTGAACAGGGCAAGATGATGCAAAAAGAATGGGTCTAAACTTTGAAAGAGTAAAGTAAGTATTTTTCTTTTTCAACGGTTGTTTAGATTTCTAATGCACATATCATTGTTGATTTAAGCAGTTGATTGGCTATTGGCCCAACTTCAGCCATATGGTTGGCCAAAAATACTTCACCCATATGAATTCATTGGAACATAAATGTTAATTGCTATCTGACAGCATTAACTTCTATCGCCTTCTTCCCCAGGTATTGGCTTTCTGTTGGAGCCCAACCTTCAGAGCCGGTACAGCGTCTTCTATTCCGATCAGGGTTATTGCCTCCACCACCAATGGTGGCTATGGGACGTAAAGGCGGACCACGTGATACACGCCCTGTGGATGCTCTAACTGGGCGTATCCTGAGTCAAGTGATGCCAGTTAAAGATGACAACAATAAAGATGATGGTGAAGATGACACTCCCACTCCATAAAACATTATTGTGCTGTTTTAAGTTTTACTTTTTCTAATTCTTTGACCCTTCTATTCTAGGTATGTCACCAGAATCTGTATTTTCAATCGCCTTACTAGTTACTTGAAGAGAATAATTGCTATTTGTTTGTTGAAAGTGCCTACCGGGAAAGGTTTGTGAATGTGTAGTATGTCATCTAGAGCCAGAGAAAGAGTCTGATGGCATTTCCACCTTGTCAAATAAGAATTTTATTTCTGGAAAGGAATTGATGGTTAATCTTGGTGATGAAGTAGGGACCAATATGTTAAGGACTTCCTTACAATAGATCCAAATGTTTTTCTCCTTGAGAGAGAGAGAGAGCGCTCCTCAACTCAATGTAGGAGGCCTAAAATACTGAGTGCTTTGCTGGGGGGGAAAACATTTGATATACTCTCTCTCCACTACAATATAAATTATTTTTTAAAAAATTTACTCAATTCAAAATATAAAGTATTGGGTAATTTTTATATTTATTGTTTCAATTATAATCATTCTTCATTTATTATTATTTTTTATAAATATCATGCATTGAAATTTTAATTATTATTATTATTAAATTTTTTAATATAGGAAATTTAATGATGATATAAATTAAAAGATATGAACATTTTTAAAAATTTAAGATTTTAATTAATATTGTTTTTAAATTATGAATTAATTAAATATATTTTATATTGTGGTTCAAAGGAGTAACATGTTAGCACATTTTAGAGGGATAAAGATGTAATATCTCTGGTATTGTTATTTCTAATCATGTATATTTTTTTTGTGTGTATACACTATTTCCAATCATGTTTTAATCCACGACCAAAAAAAAAAAATTCATATATTTTATTCATTTTTTTAATTATTAAGTCCGACATCTCTGACCACATTAATTTGGAAAGACAGATTGAAAGTATGTAATGTAAGGCCCGATAAAATTCACATGAGTGGATCACGCACCTTTTATTAGTCCCCTCTACGTATGTCGCAGTTTTACGGTTCTTATTATAAGAAATATTAAAAATTATGAAAGAATTTAGTTTAGGGCCACAGAAAAGACTTAATTGTTAGTGGATTTTAAAAAATTTTAAAACTTTAATTCAGTTTAAAAAAAAGTTAAAATAATTTTAATAATAAAAAAATTAAAATATCTGTAGAATCACTAATTAATTTTTTTAATTTTATTTATTAATTTACTAATATCAGTTATAAATTATATTCGTTTTTCAAATGATAAGTAACATTAGTTGTTAATTTATTAACTTTACTTATTAATTTACTAACATTAATTATAAATTACTAATTTATAATTAATATTAGTAAATTAACAAGTAAATATAATAATTTAACAACTGATGTCAAGTTTTATATAATTATTAACATATCAACTCATATAATTCGTAACTCATATTAGTAAATTAACAAGTAAAGTAAAAAAAATAACAATTAGTGATTCTGCATAACAAGTGAAGGGTATTTTGATTTTTTTACTATTAAAATTATTTTGAGTTCTCTCTCTTAAAATGAATTGAAGTTTCAAAGTTTTTCGGACTCGCTGATAAATAAGTTGTTTCTGTGGTTCTTACCTGAAATTCTCCCTTTAACTATTTTACTAGAATTGATGAAAGATAATTAAATCATTAGCTTTATTTTAAAATAAAATAAAATATTGATTTTATCTGTTCTTAAATAATTTTTAAATTCTTTTCAAATTATCTTTCATAACTAATAATTTTAAATAAAGGTAATATTAAAAAAAATTAATCAATATCTTATCAAGTGATTTATAATAAAAATCACACATCTTTTTTTAGAATGTGTCTAATTAAGGTTGTAAGGATTAGAGGGGATATGAAATTTGCTCTCTTCTTTTATTAGGGTTAAATGGCACTTTTGTCTTCTAGCTATTCACGCAAGTGGTATGTTCAATTTTTTTGTGGTGCAATGTTTTTTTTAACAATTAAAACAATACAATATTATTTAGGAGCTTTTACAGATATATCTTATATTATAGGATCAAATCAAGCAAACAGTCCAACATTTATTATATTTTATATTATGATTGATTTATTATATTTATCAATGATATACCATTGTATATCAATAATAAATTCCTTATAAATTTTAAAATTTTCAATGATATTATCTTGGATAAAAATGATAAACCCTTTATATATATATATATATTAATGTAAACTGATCACATTTTGAAATTTTCAAAAATTTGGTTAACATTTTCTGAGTACAAGATTTTTTGGGGCCAGTGAACTAATTTATCTTATTATTTATATGGTAAACAAAAGTTTACTTTGATAAAAAAAATCCAATGGTCTTTTCCCCAAAAAATCATAGTTGATGAAAGAGTTAATGCAACAATGTTGATGGGCCTGAAAGCCCATTTGAGAGCCCAAAAATCTCAAAGCGTCCAACTGATCAACCGTTTTTAAGCGGCTTCAAAGTAAAAAACCAGCAACACAGTCAACGACGTCACATGCTCCCTCATGTCATGCTTAATAAAACAACCCACCCATGCGGGGGCAACGCCAGACCCAAAAACGACGTCGTCCCCACCGGCCCCTTCCCCTCCCTTCCGCCGTACAATCATGACTCCCACCGCCTCGCCACCGCCTCGATCGTACCGCCGTCCCTCGTGACCGCCGTCGCTGCCACCTCCTCCTGGCTGCGCAATCGCCGGATTCGTTACCTCTTGCTCCTGCTCTGTTCTCCTCTTCTTCTATGCCTCCTGTTCTTCGCCTTCCCTTTTCTCTGCGCCGTAGATCTCTGCCTCCGCCGCTGTCTCTGGCGGAAACTCTTCCGCGATTCCCGCGACGATGAGCAGCTGAGACGATGCGAGGAAGGTTGCAGCGGATGCGGCGGAGATGAGGAGAAGGGTCTCTTGCATAGGTATTTGGAGGATCAGCTTCGTCTGGTTGGATCTATGTATGAGTGTGGGGACGATGAAGATGAAGAAGGACAAGAAGAATTTCGAAGGGTCCAAGAAGTTGAGAATCTGCACAGCAGTATGACTCCTCTATTGAGCTGATCAATTCTCTTCTCTTGACCTTTTTTCTTGGTTGAATAGAAAATTTTTCGTTTTACCAGTTTCACAGTTTGTGTAGATAAATATCTAATTTTGATGCTTTATAACTGTAGATTTTTCACCTGTATTGAAAATTTTACTTCTGATTAGGGATTGCTACTTACTTCTCACTTTTGGTTTGTTCTTGCCATCTTAATTTTGGTAACCCCCCCTGGAAAATCACAGATTCTGGAGAAATTGTAACATTTAAGTTATGCAGAGATATTGAGCTTTAGTCCGTTTGTTTCTCTGTTCCAAGTTGTTTCCTATTATATTATCAGAATTATGTTACAGGAAATGAAACTTTGAGAACTTCAAAGCTCGACAAGATTTAATATAGGAAAGATTGTTCTGCCCGTAAAAAAAAAAGAAAAAAAAGAAAAAAGAGGAAATATTGCCGATAGGTTCTTCAAATTGATCATTGATTTTACTGAATTTTGACGGATGCTGCAATAATTTATTTGATTAACTCTAAAGCTTCAAGCTGTTTGTTACGCATTTGTATATCTCTTGTTTCCCAAGATGGTAAGTGCTGTGGAGGACAGCGAATTTGGTTTGGATTCTTTGATGCCAAATTGTTTTTGAACTGAGAGAGAGTGTGAAAGCATTACTGTGATGAGACAGTGATGCAAATAGGTGAAAATGGTTTAACTTAGAAGTTAGAAACATCAAGTTCGTAATTTTAGGGGATACAAATCCACAGCAGAACAATCACACCCTTAATTTTGATCACTTGGTGGACTGCAAGTGATAGTTGTGTGAAACACCATCGGCCTCAAAATACTTTGAGTAAAGATCTGTGAATTCATATGAGTGATCATTTTTTTTTGAAGTTTAAGCCATTAAAATTAAAATGTCCTGGAAGTTACCTACTCTTGATTTAGCTTGTAAGAGATTTGTACTATTTTAATCAAAGATTTCAAGTTTGAATTTTGATGATGCAACAGTGTTGATAGTAAAGTTTCCACTCAAAAAGTTCTTCACTCGACTTAATTTGGATTAGTTTAAGTTGTGTTTAAAATCCTTTTAACTCAATGTGGAGCAGGTCCAAGGAATGGGTCTATCTCGTCGACTGTACTTCAGAGCCCAGCCAGTCTAGATAGATATGGTGATATTTTCTGCTTCATGTTTAACCACTTCTGTAATTGTGTGTTCTGTTTAAATCTTTTTTGAAGGGAATGCTTATAATCTTATTGCATTCAATTCAGTTTGTGGCTAAATAACGTCACGATATTTGACCCAAAAAAAAAAAAAAAGAAGCGTCACGATAAAATGTAAGAATACATAGTATACATTAACTTTTATTTTTTAGAAATGCTAGAAGTTCAAATTTACGTATATCTAGTTGAGTGGTGAAAAAGGAAAATCAAGCACTTTCCATTTTATATGAAACTTCAACGTTTGTGTAACACAGTTTCTACAAATGAAAAAACACAAGGAAATGATAAAATATACAAGTAAGAGGTGATAAAATGCTTCTTTAAGAGGGGGAAAAATAAAACAAAGTAAACGCATAAATGTGTAATTGTCCTCAAAAAGCAAGAATTTGGATCACTTATGTAAAAAGAAAACCATTATTGAAACAGAGGGGACTGGACTAAATATGAACAAAATCTATTTATTTCTATTTTCATTTCTTTCTATTTATGATTTCCAAGTTTAACAATCTGACGGAATATAAATTCGATAATAAATTGTAAAAATCTCACTCTTAAAGTTCTGATATTACCACAAATTGCTCTCCCTCCAATACTTACACAGCAAACAGTTCAAGATATTTCTCTGCGAGCAAATCTGACTTCTCTCGTCAAAAGATGGATGTTATTTCTGCAAAACTCAGGATGCTAAAGGATTAGGATTGATTTGGAATTTTAAAGAAGATTTGGAGAACATGAAGATCAATATGTCTCCTATAAGAGCTGTGCTTGCCGATGCGGAGAGGAAGGGCACAAATCTCCAAGTTAGCGACTGGCTACAGAATGTCAAAAGACTTGTTTCTTGGCGCTGATGATGTGCTTGATGATTTGTCTGCTGAAGCTTTGAGGAGACGCGTCATGGCAGGAAACAAGACGGCCAAAGAGGTGAACTTATTCTTCTCCAGATCAAACCAAGCTTTGTATCGGCTTAAAACAAGTAGCCCAAAAAATTTTGGGGCAAGCAACCTGTAATGAGATGGAGAAAGTGCAACAAGATCTTAGAAACAATAGTGGAAATTATTTTAAAAAAGGAGGGAGAACCAAATGCTGAGTTGGTAGAGATTGGAAGAGACATAGTCACGTGGTGTGCTGGACTCCCTCTTGCCATAATAACTATGGCAAAAGTTTTCAAAATGGATTGGGAATCTAACATCATTGATGGAACTTCAAATAGATCGTTGCAATTATTTGGAATCAATCCCTGAATAGATAGAAATTTCACATCATTGCAAGAGCTTGAACTCAATGTGTGCTTTGCTTTGACATCATTTCCAGAGCCAATAGGAAATCTCACATCACTGCGAAGGCTCGAACTCATAGAATGCTCTAATTTGGTGTCTCTTGCAGAATCGATCGGCAGTCTCACATCATTAAAGAAGCTTAAACTCGTCAAATGCTTTTGTCTTGACATCACTTCCGGAGTCCATAAGGAATCTCATGTTACTCCACGAGCTATAAGTCCATTCTTGCCATGCTCTTACAGTCCAATTTACAGACACTACGGATATTTGACTGTACAATGTTTAAGGAAAGATGGCAAAGGGAAGGATCTGAAGATTGATCCAAAATTGTTCAAATTCCAAATGTTCATGTCGATTAAGGAATTGGTGTCTTTACCCTCAGAATTCAAGGTACTGCATCGGTTGTTAGAAGATAAAGGAATGCGATAAAGAGTGGGGAAAATTCTTAAGATAATGAATTCTCTTCTCTTTTTAAAGTCACTGACTATTGTTGTTAGAAATAACCTTCCTTCCTTCCTTCCTTTTTCTATGTGATGTGACCCAATTGAAATTGGAGCTGTCTCATACTTTTCTATCATCCTCCCCGCACATGTAACTTGATCGTAAATTGTTTGCTGCTTGCCTGCTATATAAAGCCTGGTTATTGTGTTGGTTTCTTTCATCAACTTCCTGCACTATATTTGTGGAACATCATGAGCTGATAGTTGGGGGGGTTAGGTCATGATCCCCTAGGAGAAGCAATGACACACAATATGTTCTTCAAACATTGGGTTGTTGTAATACTCCTCCCTCTATATCTCAGTTAACTCCAAAAGTGAGATAATCATGAAACTAATCCAATTAGATTATCAATTTTGTAAAATTACGCAAATGGGGATCCCAAATTTTCATATTATATAATGCTCTCATACACTTTTAACATTTACAAATCAGAGTTTTAAACATATGCGGAAGTATGGGATTTTGAGCAAGTTAAGGCATTTGCCAAAGTAATCGAAAACAACAAAACAGTGTAGTAGAGGTGTGCCGTGGGGAGACACCATGCACCATGACGCATTGCATGAGTTTGATAGCATTTTGTGGTCAAATTATAACTCCTAGGATGAACTTTCGATATGTCCTATTTCTCCATCTGACGTTCAATTGATGTAATCTAGGTGTCTACAGAGAGCTTTCTCCTGACTCTAAATAATGGCACTAATTTTACAGTTAAATTATTTTTCTATTGAAAGTTGGATACCCTGTACAAAACTCATTTCTTTTTGACTTAAACACACAACTAGGGTGTCCAATTCATGACTCAAGTACAGACCACATTCAATGGATTGTATAGGACTCGTGCGACACACCACAACCAAATAAGCACACATATTTCATAATTTCAACACTCAACCCTTTGATTAACGAAACATTAGGGAGAGTTAACTTTGCATATATCAACATAACATACATCAATGTCAACCAATTTCACATTACCCTACTTACATTAGTATTTCGGCCCAATTAAGCTTTACAATCCTCATCACAAACAAATCTAGGGCACAAAATACATTCAAACCATTAACACAATAGAGCAAGTAGTTAAAAGAATCGCATGAGATCCTAGTTGGCAAATTAACTGTTCAAATACACATAATTTAAACTAAGAGGCCTGCATGTAGGATTTACATAGAATCCTATGCCTTTAGTCGTCTTCCTTGATCTTGATCCGAAGGGTTAGGCCTTATAATATTGAAGAATGATGGGTGAGTATAACCACTCAATAGCCAAATTCAATCTAACTTATACAACTGCATATCAATTAATTACAAATGCAAATGGCACTTATAACTTTGCAAGTATCACATACATAAATCACAATTATAGCCTCGACCACAAAATTAACAACCATGTAACCAGACATGAAATGCATGTTGTCATATATGTTTCAAAAATATACATATCTTGGGGTTGCAATAATAACAACCATGTGTTTGTAATAACAAATACACAAAACCACAATAACAACAACCATGTGGCTGGAATTAGATACATGATTAATGCCAATGTTATGCTCTCTTGATACCTCTTCCATAAAACTAGTGACTATTCAATAGCTATGTTTATAATTCAGACTAACCTAACCTTTCGCTCGTAAGGAGCTGCTGGGCTAGGACAAACCTACTCACTTGTGATCCATGGTTTTCCCCAATACTAACAATCATGGAGTATTGTATCCTTAATCTAGCTTTCTCATGAACCAGTGGAGACCAGTTAGGTTCGAATCTCTCGAAGAATAAGTGACACAGTCCCTAATCAATTATAGGATAATGATTACCTCCCGATTCTAACAGTCGGTGCTAAGACAAGATTCTGGTTCTAACGGTAAGCTGTCATTGCCATGTAGATTTAACACTACTCCTCTCCCTTGGTGAAACTCCCACCAATGATTATGCTATACATATATTGACACTTAGGATATCATTTTAACAACATTAATCACATAATCTCATGTTCACATAATTTTACTCCATTATATCTCATATACTGTCTATAATCTACCAAATATCACATATTATTCATTTTCAAAATGACAAGTTCTCAATCATCATCTTTAATCACATATGTATAATCATACGTATTGTTGTCAACAGTCTAACATCAATACATATATAATTTATCATATTATTAAAATTTTCATCAATGGGTCTTTAAACACCCAACAAGTTTCAAACAATTTAATTCAACAATAATTAATTAACAAACAATTATACAAACTAGATTTTCTTCGGTTACCTTATGGAGAAGTCAAAGGTTTACTTCTCAAAACAC